AAACATTTGATCCCTACCTGTTGGAATTGTCATGTTGGATATATTCCCAAATTTAAAAACTGAGAAACGGGTTTAGGTTTTTTGTTTATGATTTACAGCATAAACAAAATTTTACACCCAATGTTGTCCTCAAAATTATAACCAGCAAACTTTGGTACAACAATCTCGGTAAAATGTTACGGCTAATCGCTGTTGTTGATATTGTGGGACAACGCACATTGGTTTTAAAAATATATGTCTATATACGGATTTTCTATATTCCTACCTCCCATAAGATATACGACACTATTTCTATACACGAAGAAATAAATGTCCAATATTGGTATTGTGTTGGTGCTTACTTACATAATTGATAATATGTATAACAACAACAAAGACATGATATATTACAAGTAGGAGGAGGAGATCCGCTCTCATCGTCATAAGAGACACTAAAATATTGTAGATTAGAAACATGCATTTGCACATCCTAGAAAGGGAGATGAGATTGAGGATGTAAGAGAGGGGCTCGTCATTTTAGATCAATTTTAGATCACCTTACAAAATTGCAACAATGATCAATCGTTATGACAACAATAATATTCCACAGTATTCCACAATATTCGGTTGCCATGGACACGATTTAATTTAAACTATTATATGAACTCTGCGAACAATACTTTACTTTACGGAAAATAACAATAAAAATATCCGATTTTTCGCACAATTATATTCCACAGCAGGATGGGCAACAGAAATTGTTACGTTCATGTGTGCATACAAACCTTTGCACAATTTTGAAACGTGACTGATGTAACTTAAAATGTTTAAGTTACTAACGCCACCCCAGTGCATGTAAATTATGGATGTATACACCATTCTTTATCGTGCGTTTAATTCAGGAAAGTAAATCTGTTAAATTTTGTACATTAATACGTTACCGACAGATTTGTTTTCAACTTTAGTGGTAAGCTGTTTCAAGCCTGTATAAAATACACTAACGCATTTTCCAAAGTGAATGAATGACTTACTTATCTCAACTTCACTTCAACTAATGTTAAAAAATATGGTCGATGGACCGCCTAAGGCCCTCATAGGGACAAATTACCCCAGGTGGAAACTGTAGGTAGGCCTTGCTCTCTATTGAAATTGTGCCCTGCCCTGACTACACGGATGTCAGTACCAGACTCGCCCATTCGGATGAGCCAATTGTATTTATAAACCACTAGGTTGGCTAAAATGGGATAAAAACGACCCCATGGCAAAGAGCTGCATAATCCAATCTCCAGATGATATTTACAGGTAAACAGCTTGAAGCCTGCCAAAGAAATATAGCAGATTACGGAAAATGTATACACGACAATAGAATTAAGTCTGATAACAGCTACTCTTAAGATCTAACTCTATTTTTTCTAACACTATTGGCATAGCTTAAAATCCACCCGGTTCATGGTAATTATACAGATTATGGTTTGGATTTCTATTACATTATGGTTACCATCATATGTAAAATTAGCAGAAAACTGATTTAGCAAATCACGGAGATTAGAGTGTATGGAACGATATACGTCTTTAAGAGAATTTGCAATTTGTAAGTTGTATCGATCCATATGTATATATATACCTTTGTACATATGTAGGTCTAGGAGGATTGCTATATAATAACCAGAAATGTCATTATATTCCAAAAAAATCCCATTGCCTAAAAGATACGAGTTAACGTAGACAGAGTTGACTCATCGCCTCGGACCAGAAAAATGCATGAAAATCAGCACATTTTTGATCATTTCTCGACTCTGCCAATGTATTCAACCCTGAAAATTTACAGCATTGTAGAGCAAGTCATTAGAAATTTTATAAAAATACACACTCCTTATTTTGACAATATTTGAAAAATTCTATGGCTGATGAATTTTGCACTTTTTGCCATCAGACTTTAGTTAATCAGATTGCTATAGACAGCGAAATTTGCTTATCTTAATTCAAAAACTTATCACCGCCCTATTAATCGACTTAGTCACTACAGATTGGAAAAATCCCGTTTAAATATAATGTTCAGTTGTCTCATAAACCGATTTAAATGATTATTAAAAGGTAACTTACTACAACGTGGATAGGTATGTAATCATAAAGACACGGAGGAGAGATTATCAACCTTTCAGTACCAGATTTTTATGCTCTTTGGAATCCAAAATTTGAATACTATGCACTTCTAAATGATTGTACCAGATCTCTCTGTTAGTTTTACTGTGTGCCCCCATTCCCGCCTGCCACACCCCCTCCAACAGATACAAATTAGCAAAACTGCCGAATTAAAAACTATGCAAAAAATCCAATTTTTGATAAGATTTTGTCAATTGTTGCATTTTCTTGACCCACCAAAGTTAGTCTTTCTTATTCAACGACAAATTTTTTTTTAATTTCACATTTAAATACATCAGGGAATATCCAAAACTATTAAACATTTTACAATAGTTGAAATTGCTGGCGAATAATTGTCCACGAGTAAGAAAATGCAAGAATTATTTAAATTGGAGCAAGATTGGAATTTTTGTGACGGTTTTCGTGCCGCACTATTTGCATCGAAATCTGGAGTTGGCCGTGTGTGACCATCTCCTAGTAAACAAACGGGCTTTCGTGCTGTGTTTTTCACTGCGAGATTTCTTGAGACAACACATGTTCTCATACAACCTTAAGCAGTTTTAGGATGGGGTCCAGTCCAGATTAAGGGTAATGATAACTACCCTGGTATACTTAACTCGTACATAGCTTATTAAGTTGTGCAACTTGTTTAGAATTATAAATAAATTAAGGTTAACGTTATAGTAACTTCTTAACCAAGACATTTCCTATTGAGCACAAAAATATTGATAAGGTGCTTTCTCAATCCAATTTAGTTATGGCTAAATCGGATTGGCATGATTTAGCCATAACTAAATACATACATGCACTTATGTCTTTTTTGTTGTTTTTTGTGTGCACTTATGCTATTTCGGAATTAAGCATCGACTGCACTTATGCTATTTCGGAATTAAGCATCGACTGCACTTATGCTATTTCGGAATTAAGCATCGACTGTGCTTATGCTGTTTCGGAATTTGTACGACGACATGTGTTCAATAGGTTAAAAATTATAAACTAAACATATAAAATATTTTCTAACCACGTCATTGTTTAAAATCCTGCATTAATATTTTGGCAAGCGATCCGAGCGACGTTATGAGGTTGAAGATTGGTAGTCATTTTTAGGAACATTGGAAGTCACCTGTAGCTCACAGCTGGCCCATAGATGGCGTGGACTGCGGTAGATGACGCCGTTAATTAATGGTTGACTTGTGGTTAACCTGAATCCTAGTTGCTCCTGGGTGTTACCGAGGCGTGATCGTTGGTTGAGTGTTAATTGAATCTGTTGAACGGGAAAAACTATTATAATGTGACGACGATGGAGAAAGAAGAATATTAAAAAAAACATATAATGCAAATCAACACATAAACCATACATAGATACTTACATATTCAACGTGTTTATATAAGTTTCCGTCGGGAAAATTCTTAACGTTGTGGAACTGATGTCTTTATTACCTTTATTCAGAACGGCCGAAGGCCAATTTCCTTAACCCTTTAACGTGTGTGGTTAACAACAAGAAAATGAGTTAACTCAGGGACGCTATAAGTATGTTGTGGTCATGGTGCGGGAGGAGGAATTCAGGAGTTTTAATAAAATTCGAAAACTAAAAAATCCAAAATTTAACATTGCGTTACACTGGGAAATATCCCAATTTCCGGTAAGAAAATGTTCAAATTTAGTATTGTCTTGCCATAGGAGAAATCCCTCAAAATTGCAACATATTTTAAGCTGCGGAGAGAAAACGGTAAAAATCAATGACCTCCCAGAAAAGACAATTGTCTTCCTTCCGCGCCATGACCACGATTTTTAGGACGACTTACTTAGGATGTCTTACTCCCGAATTACACCATTTCTTATAAAAAGACTATTGTCTTCGTTACAGTTTAAAGGGTTAATACAACTTGTCATACGAGTTTCTTGAGAGGCATATGGTAGAGTTTGTAGGGCTTCAAATCCGCCCTTCAAAATAAGTATGTATTTCCTACTTTTCCTTATTTCAAAGATTTTACGCTAGGTTAGTGAAAATTGCTATTTAAGAATCCGATGTAAATTTATTCGCATATGCAAGATCATCGGTTCAGCTTTGTGTGTACAAATAACTGTTAAACTGTAACTTCGAATTTTTGTGAACTCTTTGGGAATCGTTACATCTCCTGGTTAGAAATATAAAATTTAAACCTATACATGTACGTGTGACCATTTTTTTTGGCAAAAATAGAGAAAAACTTGTGTTAAACATTCATACTTAAAAAGTCAAACCCTATATAGGGTTTGAGATGTTTATTTTGTTAGTTTTCCCTTGTGGAGCTAATTATTTCATAAATATTTTTTTAAATGTAGACACACAATGAATTATGTAAATAATTCGTTAGTTTATGAAAATACTATGACACAACTGTCTAATCTGCTTCATCTTTTTTTTATCGTATACTTCACACACCTTTTGCGTAATTCGGAAAGGTTGATTAATATTTAAAAATATTCGCACAATATTTGGCATAAGGCACATCTGTTATTATTTACCATGAAATCCAATAAATCATATTTTTTACTAATTGGTAAGCCAGTTTGAATAAATATGTTACATATGTATGTAAATTAATTCTCATGTCCTGGTTGATTGAAGGAATTACTTACCTTTTTATGTATACGTATTTATTATCAAATATCTTCATTATCATGCTCATCTTGTATTCGTCATAAATCGAAATTAAGTCGTGTCATAATCAGATTCGGACCTTATGATCAATATTACGTCATTACAAATGGATGTTTAGGGAAATTTTAGCATGCAATAAACTGAAACGTTGTTTACAAACATGTTTATTATATAAAATCTTATTAATATAAAACGAATTGAAAACCCACAAACAAAATATAGCTGTTTTACAAAGGCATCGTGGTTGGTTTTGATCAGTGTACGCTATTTGGCAAAAAGGCATGCCAAAAATTATGCTTTTTTTGCAGTAACTGCCGTCTTCAATGCCAGATATCCATAAACCGTTTCTTTTTGCAGTAAACGTGCCGTAAATTTGAATTTATGGTCAAATTGTGAGACGCTTCCACCGCGCAAAAATAAAAGTTGCACATTTTTCTAAACATTTTTTATTTGAAAAAAAGTTATGAATATCTGTTATAATCGGGCTAATATTCTGTCATACAGAAGGATTGATCAAGAATTTGGAGCCACTTTATCTGTGTGATGGACAAGTGTGGTAATGGATTGAATTTCGTGACTTCTTGTGGTATAGCGACTTTCACGTACAACTCTTTCCTGAAAACATCAGAATATCCGTTATTAAAACCTGTATTGTTGACTTACTGATTTGACAATGCAAGTCCAAACTTAGCGTGGTTAAACATTTATAAATGTTGATATTTATTTTGAACTCAATGTACATAATCCCAGTTGGTTTCGTATACATAGTTATTATTTGAAATTGTTTGCGAATTTTAGTGATAAGTCGAGTTGGAAATGTACAAATGTAAATAAAGGCAGCCGAGATAATCTGAACCAACATTGCATTCGGCCTTGTTCTGACATGTACTTAAATATGTACTGACCGTTAAGCACATGGAGGGAACCGTGCAAGTTATAGCCTGGACATTCTATTCTATCTACGGTTATCCTATGCCTATTCCATATTGTCTGCTTTATGCCAAGAAGTTTTAAATCCTTCACAACGCAAAATCAGGAGGTGATGGCCCCAACTGGGCGGCCGTTTTGATACCGTTTGTATATGTTGTAGTATTACCCAATGAGTGTACCAGAAGCCGCAATTAAGCCATCCTAAAAAATCTATTTACTTTTGCTTAGATTTGTACAATTATTATTGACCCCATCTAGTTGTTTTATCAATATCAAACTCAACTTTTTTTAAATTTTAGTTTCTTTCGAATTGGGGAAAAAATATTCCAAATTTCAAAAAAGTTGAGTTTTATATTGCATCTGATAAAGCAACTAACAGTGATCAACAATATGCATTCAAAGGACATCAAATTCTGGTACTGCCAAGTTGAAGGAATCTCCTCCTCAGTTATCTCACTCAGGTAACCCATATCCATTCTCTAATCTCCCAATACCATAAGCTGAGCCCTCAACTGGCAAATGTGCATATATGTATATGTCTTGTGATAGTGTGCGTTATTATTCATATAAATACTGGTCATGCAGAGTTTCATTTGGCAGTGAGAATGTTCTTGATTACATGTGTAGTATGTACACTGTTCCCAATAGTATTTAGCGCAGGTTGATAAAAGTTAAAATAACAACAACAAATTTGCAACAACAACAACAACAACAACAACAAAATATCAACAAATTGTGCAATGGTAAGTCCTATGAAGTATGAACTCATTAGGATAAGATTTGTTTTATTTAATTCATTTAGGCGTAACTAACAACTTTGAATGAAAATAGGCGTACCCAATCCCAATACAAGTATCGGTTAATCTCCGCTCTAAGGATTTCCCACCATATGAATTCCCGCCGAGAGTGTTCCCCTCAAGTGATTTATGGAGCAGTGTCTTGCGAGCTCACGGACTGGTTCGTGCAATCTTTTTAAATTCAATGGCGCCCATAATTTTCTTTTAACCTTATAGCCCAGGGAAGTCTTACACCCGGGACATTACTACATTAAGAAATGTCGTGGTAACGGTCCCACAGCTAGCGTGTCGGACACGGTTGAAAAGATACGGACACAATATGCAAAGACAGATGCGAATAACATATGCGTTCGCGTAGTTCGGAATGAGACGTTTAGATCTCCCGCTCCATTAAGTGGACGATTCTCGATGAGGTCGCCACCAAGAAGGAGTCGCCGGAGAGCACAATTTTATCCGCCTGCACAAGTAATTCCACTTGGACCTCCGCCTCCCAATAGAGGAGTACCCCCAGTTCACACTGGTTAGTTCGAATATTGGCGATATGTTTATTTCTAACATTGGCATCTACATTATAAATAGGGAGGATGGGTCGCGGCGTCCAACCACCTGGCGTGCCACAAGACATTTCCGACCCCCCAGTTATTAACCTTGACGTGGTAAACTTTCGAAAAATATATGCTTCTCATGTTTCAGCATCCGGTAATTAAATTATTATCGTACAGGACACTGAAGATGATGATGACAATAGCCAATTTGGTGACGAGGGACGAAACGATGAGGCAGAGGAAATTAAAGCCAGCGTACTTGCACAGGCCCAGGTTGTACCGCCTAAATATGTAAGCTTAAGGCAATTTGTATGTATGTCGCTCAATTCTGGGGGTAGGCATTAATAACGCATTTTTTCAATCTCCTCCACAGTTCCTCCAGGCAAAAGAACAATGGAAAAGGTACGGCATAGATAAGAAAAGCTTGCTTGATCGAAGCTCTCCTAAAGTGAAGCTCATCCTGGAGCAGATGCTTATTTGAATGGGGAATTATTACATATATGTTTAAATTATACAAATGGATTTATCAAATAAAATGCAGGATGTGTGTTCGATAAGAAATATGTTGTAATAAAATTGTTCATGAAACACATCAATAAGATTGTTGGTTTTGTTTTGGAAGCCTCGCACTTTATGGTATAGATATTATTTATTTAACGTGAGTAAATCCAGGTATGCGGAGAGTTTGACAATCAATCATTAAAAATACTGATTACAAAGGAAGGCGCCGGGTGTTTGTAGGACATTTGTATGTACATAGGTATTAATTCAGACAATTGTAGTCATTCATATGATAAAGGTTTATACCCAGGTTTACTTTTCTTTTTGTAGCCATATATGATTTCATGCTTATGTATGCAAGGTATGTTATGTAGCTCAGCCAGCTAGGTATGTATGAGTTTATGTACCTAGGTATAAGGTAAGTAATTCATCCCACATACATACGTATCGGAAGGTGTAGTAAATCGTTTGAATCAGAAGATAAGATATATTCGTTTTGCACAAATTCGACCAATTTTACAATAGTGGTGATTACAAAAAAGAAAAACTCAACTGTTGTGCTATATTTATAAACGCAATTAAATATTTAGGCATCTTTGCAATACAGTTACATTTGTAATACCTCCTGAATTTTGTACATTCATTGAAAATTTGCTCGGATCATAAGCTCGAAATGCAACAATTTGTTGCCTATTTATAGCTGCAATAAGCAAACGAACTTTCTTTCAGTTTGTTTAAACCTTCCTATACTGTACAACAGACAACAGACAAAAAACATCTCCCAGGACGTTAATTTATGTGCCAAATAGTTACTAATTGAAGGTAATTAAATATTTCTGAATATTATTTATAATATAATCTGAATATTATGGAGAGCCTTAGTGACTATCCACTCACCTCTAATTTTGTCTCCTTTCACAACATTCAAGTTTCTGCCTACTCTCTTAATGATTTTCTTATCTTTAATTTTTCAAAAGTTTTCCGTGCTTACTATCCAGATAAGTTTATAAAAGGGTGGGATATATATACCAGACCCTTTCGTGAAAGTTGAAACCAAATTAATTATGTAAACTACACATCGAATGTGCCTAAATACGTTTTCTTATTTTGAAATAATATAGAAAGCATCGTACTTAGATTCGTGTCCTGATCCCACCAACGAAATGCAGGAGAACGGTCTAAACGAGTTGAACTTGGCATCCATATCAACCGGAACTAGTGTAGGAACTGGTAATGGCCCCAGGCATGCATTTACTGAGAATGACGAGGACGCGAATATGACCCCATTTTTGGTGAGTATCTAGTAATTCAATTCACTAGGATATAAGTTGACAAAAATCCACGATGCACAGTTTATTTCACTGGTACATGAAACGAGCATTAATGCTCGTTTCATGTACAAAAATCTGCAATTATGGATTTTTAGGCTACTGGAATTAGAATATAATTTCAACTTAGCTTAAATTCTTGAATAATTTTAACATTTATTTATATTTTACATAGAGTCGCAAAAAAACTACAGCCACATTACCAACCCGGCGCGATAGTGGTGTTACAAACAACGAAGATGAAGATAGCCAATTTGGGGACGAATCTGCACAAGGAATGGCGCTCGAGGAGAGGGATAAAATAATTCGGGAGTTGCAGAAAATCCCTGCCAAATATGTTAGCCACGTTTTCGCAATATATATACGCATCAATATAATGTGCAGATTGATTGGATTATTTTGTGACAACTTATCACTCATCCCTATTCAATCATCTGGCTGAGGTTTTCTTGTTTTTCGTGTTAGCCACATGTTGCTGCACAAGTGGCTATACAGTGTTCAAATTCCTTATGTGCCCAGTCATGTATGTATGCATGTGTTGCATACAAGTTAACCACTAATTAAAATGTCGCGCCAACATTTAGTATGTACTTAGGAGATGCATGGCACGAAATAACCCTACAATTTCCCGTTTTAGGATTATGTACTTAATTTCATCTCCATTTAAATTACAGTTCTCCGAGGCAAAGCAGCAATGGAAGGATTGGAGTGCCGTGAAGAGGAATCGCTTTAATGAAGCCGTCCCCAAAGTGAACCTTATTCTTGGACAAATTTTTATATAACTCGGATTAACCCTTATATTACAATGGGAAGGATTCATCAACATACATACATATGCGGTCAATTAATATTTGGCTTCGGAAATTGATATATAACACATTTAATTTTATTAACTTTATTTTGAAAACTCGATTTACATTTTGGAAACCTGGACAATTTACAAAATTATAATTTCAGAAATTAAACACATTGAAATTTTACACAAATGCGTTAACAAATTTTCCAATGGCTTCCTCATTCTCTGCAAAGAATTTCTCAAAAGATGACACAACATCAGCGTCCGTCCAGTTTTCTTTATCCAGCTGTCCGAGTCTTTTCTTAATGAATTGTATGATCCCCATCATTGCGCATTTATCATTTTGGTTCATCTCCTTGTCCTTCACACATCCTGACTCGGTGCACTTTTCCAAGTTTTGGCCATCCTCGCCAAGCTTTTTTAACGCTGAATTGGCGGTATGGAGAAGATGTCGGGATAAGTGGATCATATGAGGACGGGCTTTTTGTCTAGTGATGGACAAATACTTAAGGAAGATTTGACTCAGGAGTGCGACACTGGGCGAGATCGGTTTTTTGTCGGTGACAGGCAGAAAGGGAAACGGAGTCCAATTAGATGGCAGAGCAGCTTTGTGGACAGTTGTGAATGCGACGAGTTCCGCGGCCGTGGTAAGCGTCATTAAATCCTTGATAGGAAGGATAGGGTTTTTCCTAAATATTTAGATCAAAAATATAAAATTGCATAATTTTGTATGATTTTCAAACAATTTGCAAAGCTCTCACAGGAATTCGTGCCCATCCACAAACTCAAAGTGTGGATTTGCCCAGGTTACCAATCCGCTTGACAGGGTTAGTTCCAACAATGGTTTCATATAATCGAAGCAGTCCGTTCGTAAAACCTTTTGATAGAAATTAAGAGCTTCTTCGTAATTAGAAAAGGTTTTTGGTTGAACTACAGCGTCAGTTTGGGGGCAGTTTCCAAAACCATAGAACGTTGGACCATCGGTTCTTTTTTCTTGAGCAAAATATGCTCCTGCTGATAGATTAGTTGCAAATTGGGTTTTCCATCCGGGATAATCCTTTAGTGGATCAGGCACCGTTTTTCCGTTGGGAATCGCTTTAATAAAATATTATGGAATATAACACATTTAATTTAATTCCCATTGATCTATTTACCCCTTTTCTTCCTTCCCTCAAGCGATTGCCCAACAGCCATTACAGTTTCCATGACTTGCATGCCAATTCCAGCCGCGCCGGATGCCACGTGGGCTGCAACGCATCCAATGGTGGTCACAGAGCAGACCAGATCAGTTGTGGACTGAACGAGAGTGCCGACAAGACTGAAAATAGTTGGTCAATCTATCTGTACTTTTTTAAGTCTAAGTAGAGTTAACTTTAAAATTGTTTTAACTCACCCCGCAATAAATTCGCCTCTCCCCAACACCGCATTAATTTCAAGGTCGAGATACAAATCATAGTTGTCGTTTGGGTCGGAGCCGTCCCCAGTTTTTATCTTGATGGCGTCCAACTCGTCAATGACTACTTTTGAAGGTTCCTTCTCCTTGAATGGGGGCAAAATGGGATATTTGTCTGATGGGACGAATACCGTGGTGTTAATGAAGCAAGGCAAAATAACGCTGTAGGCACAGGATATCGCCAGATTTTGAAAGGGCTGTTTCCCATGAATATAGTGCTCATCGAAGGTTGTCCATTCTACCACAATTTTCTTAGACGTGCCATCTTGGTCAATGGATGAAACTGTTTTATCTGAAGGTGCAGCATCGCTATTAAATTTACGATAACCCATTCAGTTTAAAGTGAACTTGCTAATTAAAAAAGTAGAAAAAAGTCAGACATTTATTTACTTCATATAATTCTTAAAAGGGTTTAATTTTTTGCGGTAATTTCAAAATTTCACTCACCGAATTATAGCAACCTGTCCATAATAAGAATTGTTACCTCCCACCGCCTTATTCTTTCTTAACACGATATAAATCCTTTTACTCTTTTTGAACGGCAACTTGTCCTCCACTCAAGAGGATGACATCCTTCCCAGAATCGTCCACCTTCCTCTCATATGCAACCAAATTGCTATCATCTCCCAAGAATTTGTAGGTGCTCTGGCCATTGGCCTTATCGACTTGTTGGATAAGGAGGGAGTCGTTTCGAAAACATGGCACATCCCCAGAAACGGCGACCTGTTGGAGAATCACGTCCTCCAAAGATGTTGCCTTCACGGTAATAAATGTTACCTGGAGAAGGGACAATATGGCAAGAAATTTTCGCCCCATTTTGTACCACGAGGAAGAGATGAGATTTATGATAAACCAGGAAGAAGACTGAGAGCAAATGCATAGGTAAAAGATTTATAAATTCGGATTTTAAACAATTGAATTTAATAGCGAGTACATTTCCTTATTATTTTAAAGTTAATGAATGCACACAGGTATTCATCTCATTGTGTGGTTTTTAATCCCTGCTTAGACATGACCCACCCAAGTAAGACATAAATTACCTTAATTAATTACGGCTTTTGTGCCATTCATTAAATTAAAGTTGTTAACAATAGCGAAATACGATGCCTGTACGACAATGAAAAGTAAACCTGGCAGCTGTAAGTATTACATTTTTAATCCAAATTATGCTGTAATCCTGGGTTTTGTATTTACACATGTGATTACAATGAATTGCTTAATTTAAAGTAAACCTAAATTAAAAATTGTACTGAAAAAATTGCTAACGAGTTTGTATAAATAATACACGTGCGTATGTATCTACTTACTTGTATCTATGAAAGGTACATACGTACATGCGGTTGTATACTCCTGTTGTGGGAAAATCTTAACTGGTTTTGCACGCTTCTGTCAAACAATACGTGTAAATACATAGAAGACAAAATGTTCCCACATCTCAATAGTTTTGAGATTTTCTTTCCTGGAAATTTATTTTATCCTTTGATAAAAGGAATATGTACATATGTATGTATATTTATTCGTTCTTTCTTAAAAACGATATGCCCCTAAGGTTTTCAAGTTATCTCGCTATTATTATTCTCGCTGTTATTGTTTTGTGAAACTCGCAATATGTATGTATAAATAAGTAAATCCTGAATAAAAGAAGGGACATTCCCGAGTTTAATTACATGCATGTTGGTATTTATTTTAAGCATTAATTATTACAGCTCAGCTTCAATGTCATTGATAATGATGAAATATGTATACACCTGCATGATTACAATTATTAAAATTATATTTTTTTTATTAAAATGAGATATACAGGGTGAATCTGAGGAATGTCCAGGCTTTTAAAAAATCATAGCAATTTTTCGGGTAGGACAATTTGAAAAATTTTAAGTTTGTTTTGTACCTTGGTTCATAGAAGGATTTATGAAACTGAGTTTGACTAAAAAATCAAACCGGAAAGATGATCCGCATAGATTTTCCCAAAAAGTGTCAAATTTACCATTGAAATCCCTATCCCGTGCCACACTTAACGACCAAGTTTTCGGGGAGAAAAAATTTCAAAAACACAAAAAAATCGCATTTTCTCCCCGAAAACTTGGTCGTTAAGTGTGGCACGGGATAGGGATTTCAATGGTAAATTTGACACTTTTTGGGAAAATCTATGCGGATCATCTTTCCGGTTTGATTTTTTAGTCAAACTCAGTTTCATAAATCCTTCTATGAACCAAGGTACAAAACAAACTTAAAATTTTTCAAATTGTCCTACCCGAAAAATTGCTATGATTTTTTAAAAGCCTGGACATTCCTCAGATTCACCCTGTACATAGATATGTAGATTTTTTCCCGGATAATTATTAACTCCATACATAAATAAGTACGTATACTGATCTGTATTTAAGTAAGTATGTGGTGCCTACATACATGCATATATAACATCTCTGTTTTGGACCTTATTGTTTTGATAATTTTTTTGCGAAATAAAAATCAGCCATGTAGTTGCAAAAGCTATTTTTCAAGCCAATAGAGTTACATTGTTTATTTTATTTTATTAACATTAAGATGCTAAAAAACAAATTTAACAGCATCGCCAGGATAATCACGTTTATAAAGACATGCAATCCGAATGAGTGAATACACCGAATATAAAAAGTGAATTTTGTGGCGTTTTTATATATTATAGGACACAATTGCATGTCACTATCCATGGCTTCTATTCCACGATGATGGTATTTTTGCAGATTAGAACTCCCCGGATTCCCACGCCAGTAAAAATGTCCATTTAGTTATGTATGTGCCGAATAGCCAAGCACGTGTCGCATCATTGAACTTAGCATATTATATTACTTTGCAGATCCGCATAAGATACAATCCACGCCACAAATTGATCCCACTATTATTATTGACACGCATCTCATATTCAGAGGATTCCCAGCAGGAAAAGCTGCTAAAAACCGGTCCGTCCAATCCCACCTGCTTCATGGATAGAAAAAATAAGGAAGATACATAGTCAAAAAAACTTGCTTTATACGCAATTTCAAGATTACCTTGGCCAGTATTCAGTTCACATTTGTATACCAATTCCAGATGTGCAATCAACCTAAAAATTTCGCAAATCGGTAAAATGAATAGTAAAAACGAATCCCTGAAGGAAGCTGTTTTTCGACTTTTTCCACCTTCAGGACCATACAGCACAGAAGAGGAGGAAGCAATTAAGGAATTTTACAATTTGGTGGACGGTAAATTTTCCATTTTTTCTTCGACGTGAAATACATATCCGTAATAACAAAGTGTAAAAATAAAATACATATCTTGTGTTTTAGACGACACAGATTTACAAGAGTGGAAGAAATATGCTCCTGAATCGGTTGTTATTTTTTGCCTAAGAGTTTGCCAATTAGAAGTGAGGGCTATGTATGAACTTGTGAGCTCATAAACATATGAATATATTTATGTCCAAATGTCCAATCAAATGACAAGGTTTTATCCATTCTTCAGGTCCGGTCTATTTATCGAGTTGCCATGGTAAATTTTCCAGATTTATTTGCACGCCTGAACCCCAAAGCCATGCCATCCATTGCGGATCGTGGCATATTTCAGATTATGAAAAGAAACAAGGAGGATGAAGGACCGGCGGTACTTGTGCTTCGAATAAGTAAGCATAACCAAGGGGGTATTCATGAAAATTTCCGGATACAGATTTTGTATCAGGAAATTATTTATTTCACAAAATCTATCTTAGAAATATATGTGACATACAAAATATGAGAAATTTAACAATAAAAATTATTCACAAAATTCTTTTTACTACTGGGCCCACCAAAACTTGGTTGGAAAAGTTTATACTTATGGTGAACGTGTTTATGAAGAAGGTTTCGTGAATACCCCTAAAAGTTTGGCTTTGGAAAAAATAAATACTGATATCGGTTATTTGTTTGATAATTAAACTATTAACTGTTAAAATCAAATCTTCAAACCAACTAAAAATGTATAATTTTTCCAGACAGATGGGATCCTTCAAAAGCTATCTTGGACGACGTATTATTTTTTACCTTTATCCTTTACGTATTTGCCGCAAGGCTCTCGCCAGAAATGCAGCGGGCCGGAATACTTTCAATTGTTGATATGCGTGGGTTAAGATTGGCACATGTCCGACATCTCAGTACTATGGATCTTGTCAAAAAGGCGGCCCTTATTTCATTAAAAGTTCCCATCAAGTTATCCACCAGGATTGTTAAGGGATGCGTACTTGTGAACAGTAATGCTCTCGTTGTTCGTACTTTTCACGCCTTCAAATGGCTAATCCCAAAAAAGTTAAGGAAGAAAGTAAGTAAAAAAATCAATTAATAGTTATACAGAATACATTGTGGTTACTAATTTAGAGTTCCCACGGTTACAAACTTAGAAATACTTAAAACAGAGCTTGCAATGTCAGAGAAACATTTCCATAGAAAAATTTCTTGCAAATGTATCCATCACTAAGAAAGTCATATGTCGAGAAATATTAAAGCAAATATGTAATTAATTATGCTAACACGTAATGAATATCCCCATTAATTGTCTGCCAAAAAATTTAGAATCATATACGTTGGTTCGTAAAAATACTGTAATATATATTTTTGTCATTTCAGATCGAACTAACTCAATCGGATATGTCATACATAACAAATTTGAAGGATCCGTCCACCCTTCCGGTAGAGTTTGGTGGTGTCATTGACGATACAGAAGCATACATTGAAGACCTCGCCAATAACTTAATGTCCGATAAAAAACTAGTGCCTGCCATGCAGCATCTGCAACATGAAATTCTACGACATAATGGATATTTGAAAATTAATTAGTATTACATAGTTGCTAAAATTTATGTCAAAATATATTCTGTATGCAATTGTTTTTACTAGAAATGAATGTGATATTTCTTTTGACGTGTTATAAATATTTTTTTATTCTTGTACATATGTATTTAGATGCTTTGATTAAATTCCATCTTGTGTTATGCACATGTATATACTTCAGATATGTGTGCAGTAGCATGTATTTATATAAGTTAACGGACGTGCAAATATGTATATCTATCACACATACTTACATAATGTAAGAATCGTCAATTTCCAAATGACATGTAATGGATTAATTATTTTCAACTGATTTGTTTGGATTTTGTATGAATTTTCAATTCATGAGGGGTTATCTTTTCATCCCCTTTACCCATTATGCAAAACATTTGCAATTACATTGTACAAACCTATTTTAAATTCTGAGCACTATAAATATGTCAAATACAATATGGTACCTTGACAAACATATTTGCTAAAATTTAAATTATGCTCCTATACGTAAGCTTAGGTCATAATTCATTATAATTCATTCCTGATTTAGTAAATGTTGCCTAACTCAATCAAGTATATATGTCAAATCCAGTTATAAGTGTATGTATGTGAAAAGGTGTTATTTGCGCAATTTACTCAATTTGGTATTATTAATTTGTTCTAGCTAATTAATGAGGTCGGAAGTATATATAAATTTTTGGTTTAGTGTAAGGCATATGATTGTATGTATCATTAAAAATTGTAAAATGTTTGTCTTCGCGCATAGATTATGAGTTATTCAGTAATTAGTAATTTTCCCTTATAAAATTGGTATAAATCGGAAAAATTTATTATCGGAAACATAATTTGAAATTGACATATATAATAGATAATAATGTCGTAGATAATATAAAAATATAAAAACTTTGTATTCGCGACCAGTTTTTGAATTATAAAGTAATTTAGGTAATTAAGATAGCATAAGGAAGTATAGTAGCAAGTAACCCCAAACTGTGAGGAGCGAGTTATGAGAGGTACTGCGTCGGGTAAGAGACAGAGGAGACGGCATGGCTGACTCTGCGGGGAGAGGGGAAGGAGTCCGGAGGCACGGAAAGGGTGCTCCGGGAATTAATTGTTAGAATTGGTAGGAATTTTTGTGAAAATTAGAATTGTTTTGTGAATTGATTGAGAGTGTGAATGTTCGTCAATAAATTGTGCTGAAGATAAAGTCCTGATTTGAGTATAAGAGGGTTTATTATAAAGTTTGGAATTGAGGACAAGCAGATTAGTGTGAGAAGTAGTTATCATCCCCTTCATCAAACTCGAACTGTAACACGGCACAGTCAACATACGGCGACTTCTTGCAGACGGGTAGTTTGCATGGATAGTTTCCAGTGGGTGAGGTTACGCGATCCCACAATATACATAAACTATTGCGGTCTGGTGGAATGGATATGTACTATGTACATATGCTCAAGCACAACATATATAAAAAACTATATCTTTCATCAGATCTCATAATTATTTATGATTTTCATACTTTGCTTGTTTCCAATTGGGATTTCTAAGTAATTGTGTAAAAAAATCTTTCTTCATTAAACGCAATCGCTTCTGGAATTAATGACCAGTAAAACCATATCTATTGTGGGAAACGAATAAATCGCAAATGAGATGTTTGTTTCTATTATACTCATTGTTACCTACATACAACATTTTTATATCGCAGAGCTCATGGATTCTGTAGGTATTGACCAATATACAATTAAATGTGTTTACTATTTTGTATGCATATAAGTTAAAAGTTCTTAACAAATTGTATGGGGATTAACTAAAGAGGTGTTATCTGAGTCGAATATCGGTTCTACATACATATTTCACCATACCAACTAATGTTGGCAGGTCTGTGTATATACATATTTATATATTTGAACGAACATTTCTGTACAGATTCCCATTATGTGTAAATTTGCTTGCACGTATACACTATCTCACTATCACAATGGTATACATTGCAATTTACATTAACTTGAATTAGTGTAGCACCTGAATTTTTTAAATCATTTTCTCTAAAGAAATATGGAAACTTTAAGAACATCTACGTCTAGTTGCTTGTGCAATGTTATGAAAAAACTATTTGTAATTATTATCACAATAATAGTCATTTCAGTACCAATCCCTGTGTTGTTTTTTCTACCTCGTTCGTCAAACGGTTGCCGTGCTCGGAAATTTTTTACTTGGTCTTAAAATGGTTCCATGGTTCGACTCCTGCCTCGCTGGAGAAAACGTTTATAGTACGAAAGCCCTCACAATGTCGGTGACCTTTGTAACAGACATTCCATCTATACAAAGGGAAGGAGTAATGCAGAAGGTGCAGGAAAATTTGCTAGAAAAACGAGATAGTGAAGGAAATTTGCAATTTCCTGAATTAAAGTGTTCCCTTCGTCCGTTCCTGGGATATTTATTTTGGAAGCCTGTTGGAAAGTTTAAACTTGAGGATCACGTGATTAACTATGAAGGTAAGGACTAGAATAATTAATGAAAATTAATACGTCTAATTTACTACATCGGTTTAATTTTATTTTCAGATACAAAGCTTTCACCTCCGGATTGGTCTGATCCTGACGCCCTAAGAAAAATAACAAGCGAGACGTTGAGATGTCGCTGTTGGAAGAAAAGTGCACCATTGTGGGAAATCATACTTTTAAATAATATTCCCAAATCACATTTGCCAAAAAATTCTGGCAACGGTTCACTCTTTATTTGGCGATTTCACCACGTCCTGATGGATGGTTATGGAACATTCAAGGTTTTGATGCAATTATTTGGCAAGTTTGACAAAGTAGGGGATTCAGCCGTTCCGTCGTCTGTGTCAATATATGATGAAAAAATGACCTGGGGTAAACTTCAATCAATTAGCGTTGCACCATTCAAACGTGCAGAGATTTGGCTCCCGCTGATTCGATGTCCTTTAAAAATTCCGCCAATTTTTAATGGTGAGGGGAAGGTTGTACTAAATTATTATTAATTATTTATGTTGTAATGAATTTAATTCTGAATTTTCAGGCAATGGGAACAAAATACTTTCCCACGGAACAGTAAAATTTCCCTTAGTTGACCTCAAAGCTATCAGAATGAAGCACAATGTCGACCTAACATCAATTTTAGTTGCCATCATTTCTGGTGGGGTTCGACGATTCCTGCTCAAATATGATCAAGATCTTCCCAATAAATTGGGAATAATGTGCCCCATGCTGATGCCAAATCATCCAGATAAATTAACAAATTATGTGTAAGTTGTCTTTACTAAGGACATTTATTTATTAGAAAAGTGCTGATTAGTCTTTGGTACAGCTTTGAAATTAAGATCTTTTAAAAACAATTATATAGAAGTGGAGGAGTGTTTCTATACCATTGCGGGAATCAAATAATATCAACCGGATGCGCGACATATCGGTTGCTTCTTTAACTCTCAGAAATAAGGGCATCATACCACTGAATCATTTTATTACAAAACTTCCCGGGTTGTTCCAACAGTTTGTGATTTTGACATACCGTAATTTGTTTTCACTTCCTCCCCTCTTTTTGACAAACTTGGTTGGCCCCATAGAAAAATTGTCGTTTGATGACATCTCAATTACGGATATTAAGGTGGGAGTTAATATCTGCCACAGGATCTGCCACAGGATGGGCCTCGAGGTAATAAATGTTATACAGATATCCAAAACTTTATAATGTGCCAGTAGGACAGAGTTGTTTCAGATACTCTTTGTCATTGCAGGTTTTTGCTTCGCATTTCTTACGTATGAAGGACAAGGTAACATAGCAGTTTCTGGATTCAATGAGTATTTGGAATCAAACCAGCATGCCGATGAACTTTTAGAATATTGCATGAAAGAAATGAAGGAGTTGGAGTTGTGTAAAGGAAACATTGCCAATTTATTTATTTGCTAAGTTGCAAAATTGTGTGTTTCTTGTTTGCGAATCTTACGTCGTTCAACTTTCTCGCACATATATAGTTGGAGAACAAATATGTGAATAAAGTTTTTTTTTTACTTTAGCATGTCCACTGGAACAGAAAACTTAAGAGAATATGTATACAAATTGTAATTTTATTAAACTTTAAGCCATCAACGAGCAATAATTGATTAGCATTTACACTTGTTTAAAATGTTTTGCTACATTATCCAAATTTCTAAAATTTTGAACCCACGCCTCCATATAAGAAAACTCATTGTAGGGAAGGTCATACTTGGCGGCATCACTTTGTCCCTCAGTAAATAGGATCGAAACGGTGGCAGGGTTGGGAAGAGGTGATGCACGACTTCAAAATTTAGATATCCGGTCCACCAATCAACCCAGAAGCTTGACTTGATATTTGCCGTGTGACGAAAGGCGTACTCCACCCAATGCGTTTGTTTCTTAGCCACGGGTAGACGACTATGGGAAAGAGCAAAATTCCCGAACAGGTACGCTCCTCCAAACCAAACTCCAAAAATTGTGGTCCAAGGAGCCGCAAAGGATAACAGAATCCACCAGTGAATCGCAATCATGGCCATGTTAAAGTAATTTTTATACTTGGTGACACTTCTTGGACTGCTGTACAGACGCCATGCCATCGTGGCGAGGAAACAATCCACAGTGAGGAAAAGCCATTTCTTGCAAATTTTAGGGACACATTGTAAATAAATGCATTTTGTTGTTAATAAGGGTACTAAATAATAAATTATTTCCTACAGTATTTAATGAATATAAATTCATTGCTGTACCTGGTTTTGAATAAAAAACGACCTTCCCTGATGCGGGTGTTTTACGACTTCAATCGAGTTTGCGATAACTGGCAGTGTGTTGAGGTCCCCGTCGTAATCTATTCTCTTTGATTTAATTTTATGGATAACTTTCTATTTAAAAGTCTTGAAAATAAAGGTGAAATAAACAGTAGGTAACCTGCGGCATGGCATGATGTTTGTTGTGGCGTCTCCTCCACCAACCGCCTGGAAGACCGTCCAAAATACCTAGAGTACAATATGGTGGGAAAATTTTAGTTGGACATTCAAGTATATTTTTTGAAATTTTGTTGGCCATCAAGTTTGCAATTAGATATTAAATACCTAAAAGGATTGATTGGATAAATCTGTCAGCCTTATGGTTCCCAGTCAGAGAATGATGTCCCGCTTCATGCATTACCCAACCTGCACGACCTGTAAAATACCGGACACCACCTGCACGACCAGCGCCAAGTCCAAACAGTATGGCTCCGAAGAATTGAAGACTAAATCTGCTACTTCCACAAAGGTAAATCCCAATCATCCAAATCATCGAGCATTCAAAAATTTGCCAAGTAATTCGCCATGGTGATGGTTCGAATAATCCTTGATTTTTTGCCCAGATAAATAATTCATTAAAATCATTGGTAAGATTTTCATGTCGTTTTCTCTCTTCAGGTGTTAATGGACCTTAAAAATGGATGAACTCTCATATATAAATTAATTTGGTATTTATTAATCCCTTTTTTAACATATTATCCGAGTACTCACTTTCAGTTTGAGTGGCGAGTCGTCTCTTAAGATTATCCAGCATTAACTTTACTTTTGGGAAGAACCTATTATGAAATTGCTGAATGGCTTGCGTAGCGTGTTCCCCTTTCTCTGTGTAGTATAAAATAACGTCCCCACCAGGGTGACGCGTAGAAAATTCAGTAATGTCATAGTAATAACCGTCGTATAGGATTTCAAACGGATCATCTGTAAATTGTTTCGTCATTGTATCCTAATTCAATTTGGCCAGATTATGATGCGGGATTCAAAATGTTAAATATATAATTTTGTTGCCTGGTCCAGCAAAGCTGTCGCCATGATCACATTTCTATTTTGGTTAGTAACTAAGCCCTGTTGGTCTAGTGGTTTGGGCATTGGACTGTCACCACGCAGTCCTACGTTCGAGCCCTAGACCAGGGAAACTTAGTTAATCCTACTCGGCTCGGTGATAGTACGGGGTGGGTGCTCCCAAGTGTCCGTTATCGGCTAAAAGAGGGTGCGGAGCCTTGCTCTGCTTGGGAGCCGCAATAGAGTCCGTTCTCTATCTGCAAGAGGAACTTGTGGAAGACCAGTCATTCAATTGTACTGAACAAGGAATTCCTACCCTTCGGGGTAACAGCCCAAACAAACAAACAAACAGTGCATCCGTCACTGTAAATTACGATCGACAAGTCGTCACTGTATTTTTCTTCAATATATTTGGTTAATTTGGTTGTAAATAATAAAAATATTTAATTGACTATTGTTCAACATTTAGTCAACGAAGACTAGGATATCAAAAGTTAGGTTGTGTATTACACATACATACATATGATACACATTATTATAATAATGTGTATCAAAAAGAAAGAAATAAAATCTTACTTGCAATTCCTATTCGTTTCTCATTATATGTTTTTGCTGGTAATTAATTTCACGTGTTGTTGTGTTTCAGTAAAAGTAAAACTTTTTATTTGGAAATACTATCTGGAAATAACCAAAGTATTTAAATAATTGTGAAATTTATATCCAGATTAAGTTATGATAATTAAATAATTGTATTTTGCTGCCAAGTAATTATGCATTTTAGTCTGAAATACATAATTACTTGGCAGCGAAATACAATTATTTAATTATCATAACTTAATCTGAAATTTTTAGATACCCAATAACAGAACTAATTGGCTCCAGTTTACACGTGGAGAACATTTATTTGTAGGAAAATTGATCTCTTCAGGATTAGCAGTCATTACAGCAAGAATTCCCAGTTCATAACAATGCTTAGCGATGTTATGACTGATAAATTTATAAATAAATTGTGAAATCGTTATTGTGCAAAAAATTTTATTACTGGAAAAACAGAATAAAAATAAAAATACTCGTAATCTCTTTTGGTCTTTGATAATTAGTTTGTCATTATATACTTTAACCCTGAAGTACATACATAAGTGTGATGAGCTCAAATATGTTACTTTTTAGCAATGTTAAATTTGCATCAATTTTTTGCATCACCAAGTTTTCCAATATTTTGAAAAATTGGTTATATTTATCGAAGGCAACTCGATTATTCTCGTCGGTTTATGACTAAATACAGTCTCATTTAACTTATTTAAATCAACACCTAAGTTTAAATCTGATTTATTGAAATTCGTCGCATTAATTGATTTGCATATATGCAAGTTTGAAATAATAAATTTAGATGTATACATAAAAATTTATTATCTCAAATTTTCGGTTCCATATGAAACTTGGTAAATTTGCACCTATGTATGTAGCTCACATAGTTAGGACATATGGACCAAATAATAAATAATACCAAAAAGGCATGAATCTAAAATTTTGAAGTACAATATGTAGGACCAGAATTTTTATACAACACGTTAATAAAGCAAGTGCATAAACAGGTTAGTCTGCGAATTTTTAATTTTAACAAGTAGACCAATGTGCCATACTTATGTTAAAAAATCGTACATATTTAGTAAACTTCAAGAAATTGAATAAATATATATGTACATACACATATAAATACATAGTTACCATTATTACTTGCTACATGATTAGATGCATTTATACAACCAGGATCTACTTAATATTTCAACATAAAGTAATTGTATATTATTTTTTCAATGTCCTCCTAAGCAGCAACTGTTCAATGCAGTGAGAAAAATATGCACTTCTCATGATCTCATCCACATTATGAATTAAGTATGTATGTATGAAAAGTAACCTGAAAATGTGTTTCATATTTGATTCACATCGAATCCTTACCGAACTTTTAAAAATTTATAGTTAAAATTTAATTAGGTTCTTGGTGAAATAAAAATGCATCCTAAAATTGAAAGTAGTAAATTAGAAATATTATACGACGGTTATGACTATGACGTAACCGAACTTTCAAAGAGACACCCTGGTGGGGATATTATTTTGTACTACTTACAAGGAAAACGAGGAAGATGCGACACAAGCTATTCAGCAATTTCATAATCGATTCTTCCCATAGTTAAAATTCATCCTGACAAATCTGAAAAGCCGACCGGGCCCGGAAATAGAAAGGAGGCGAACAAACAAACAACATTTGGTATGATTGTGACATTACAAAAATTTCAACTTAAATTGTAAATCGTCCACAAGATTCTTAAAGTCCACTAACACCTGATGAAACGAAGCGACATCAGAACATTACTAATGATTTTAACGAATTATTTTTATGGATGAAAAGTCAACGCCTGTTTGAGCCATCACCTTGGCGAATTATTTATCTAATTATTGAATGTTATTTGGATTACTGGAATTTGTCTTTGCAGTAGTAATAGATTTAGTCTTCAATTCTTTGGGGCCATTCTGTTTGGCCTTGGCGCCGGTCGTGCTGGTTGGGTAATGAATGAGGCTGGACATCATTCTCTGACTGGGAACCATAAGGCTGACAGAATAATTTAGTCAATCATCTTGGGTAATTAAGCAAACTAAATGTTTGAAATATCTTCAAAGGCTTACATGCCCAACACTAAATTTAATACAATTAGTTGAATACGATCTGAATTTTGTAGGTGTTCTGGACGGAGTTGCAGGTGGATGGTGTCGGAGGCATCACAATAGACATCACGCCATTCCACAGGTTTGTTTATCTAGATGAAATGCTCATTTTGTAGATACAAAAAGTTCCTATGTACCAACCCTTACTTAAATTAATAGAGAGTTGACCACAATCTGGACCTAAATCCGATGACAGTTATCGCAAATGCGACAAATACAACAAACAAGTTGTGCGGTAAAACCGCGGAAAAGAATCCACTTTTTCATTACCGTATGCATTAATTCACAATCTATGTATGAGCGCCCAAGCAAGCCTTACTTCGAAAAAGAGGCCACGATGAGGGCACTTCCCCTACATCTCAGCAATACGATTCAGATGAGACCCTGTCAAAAACAATCAAATTTGGGATATGTTGTCTCAGTGACAATGAAATGAGAAATGACATAAAATCGGACATTTTGAATTTTCATGTTCCTAAGAAGCATTCTTTCAAAAATCTAACCAAGAAAATATTGTAGCCAAACGGTAAGTTAATATTTATAATAGTTCCCACCAACTGGGGGTACATATATTGAGATATTTAGAATGTGTGTTATTTAAAGGAATCTAAATTTTCAGAAAACCAGCGATAACTTTTCAGGAAAGCCGAATTTCGAAAATATGGTTATTTTGACCGCACTGCACATGACCCTAAGGAAAACGATTCCAACGAGAGTTATTTAAAAAAATGATTATTTGAAGTACTTTCTCCAGTGGAAAAAAATTTATCCGAAATGTGACATTTTGAATTTTCCCGCGCTTGGGATGCTTTATTTAAAAAAAAGTTTCAAATGTTTGTTCAAGCCAAATTTACCTCTGGATTCGACACAGTTGACAGGTTTTGTCTATCTGTCACCCAGATCATTTGAAAAAATATTTAGTTTGCTCATCACGGCACAGAAATTATAGTACGTAAACATGGATATTTCAAAAAAATTTCGAAATTTTGAAAAACGGCATGCGTACCGTATCCCTACATTTTAGGGATGGTCATAATGCCGTTGACCGCATTGCTCTATCTCTTAAGGCGGCCCCACACGACCCCCCCTCAAATTAACATTGGGCTTGGTGATTCCATACCACCTGTTCCACATATACTTCCATGGTGCATGAAAGTAAATGGAGGAAAAAGTAGAAAAAGACATAATTATATGCATGCACTTATGTCCTTTTTGTCGTCTTTTGGGTGCACTTAGGTCTTTTCTGAATTAAGCGTCGACTGCACTTACGTCTTTTCTGAATTAGTACGATGTAACTAATTCATATTTGTGCAGCAAGACTGTCGTATTACAATTTAGATGAATCTCCCAGCGCATGCTGGAATACTCAAATTCTTCCGAGTTTATAGTCCTATCACTAGTTTTAAATATAATTCAAAATACCAAAACATCAAAAATAAGTAAAATGTCTGATTTATTCCCGATACATTTGCACTCATTTTCATAACCCTAAATCCGTCATTTCTTCTCTACAATATTTAAGCAGTTCGTCTGCATGCTCGTTTGACTCCAGATATTCATTATATGCAGAAACTGCGAGAGTGGCTAGTCCATCGTATGTTAGAAATGCAAAACAGAAGCCTGAAAATTAGATCTATAGATTAAACATTTTCCAATTGATTTCGAAATTTAACAAAAATAATATTCCAAGTATTTACGAACCTCGGGGTCCATTCATCGGTAAATTTATGCCCACTTTAATATCCAAGATTATCATCTCATCAAGAACCAGTGGTTTCGCAGGTCCAACCAAATTAGAGAAATAAAGGGGAGGAAGCGGAAACATGGTTTTATACGCTATCCATAGAAACTGAGGGAACACTCCCGCCAGCTTTCCAACAAAATGGGTTAGTGGGACGACGCTTTTATCTCTCAAGACTGGATTTATTGCCGATATTTCCTTCAGCCGTTTGACATTATTCTGTTCCCGCAAAGGGATTGGAAAAACTCCTCCGCATCTGTATTATGTAGTAAAAAGGCTTGTATTAAAATTCGAACTAGCAAGTAAAATTAATTTGTAATAAAAAATTAACCTCCTTACACGTAATTTGTTAACTTGTCGGGATGATTTGGCATGGGCATGGGACACATTATACCCAACCTATTTGGAATTTTTTGCTCATATTTGACGAGAAATTGTCTAATCCCACCGGCAATGATAGCAATCAAAATCGATGCAAGGTCCACATTATGTTTCTTTCTGATAGCTTTAATGTCATCTAATGGAACAGTTAGGGAGGCGTGGGAAAGTATTTTGTTCCCATTACCTATAAACATGTAACTAATTACCCTGCAATTACTTAATAAGTGGTATAGCCCTTAAGGTGACCAACTTTTAAAAATCGCTGGAAGTGCAATAGGACACCGGACAATTGGTAGACATACTTCAGTTATTTTGAATGGTGCTGTACAGATTGATTGAAATTTATCCCAAGTAATTTGGCCATCATAAATTGACAGTGTTGTCGGAACAACTGAGTCCTTTACTTTGTCAAACTTGCCAAATAGCTGCATTAAGACTTTAAATGTGCCATAACCGTCCATTAGGACGTGATGAAATCGCCAAATGAAGATTGAGCCATTACAAGAATTTCTTGGCAAATGTGATCGTGGAACATTATTTAGAATTATAATTTCCCAAAGTGGAGCCCCCTTCCTCCAGCATCGACTTCGCAGCGTCTGGCTGGTTATTTTTCTCATGGCGTCGGGATCTGACCAATCTGGGAGGGGAAGACCTGTACCTATTACATATAAAGATGACAATAAAATAAATGTTCAGTTTAGTACAACTAGGTAATTTTAAATCTGATGCAACAGGAAATATAAATTTTACCTTCATAAAGTAAAACATGTCTTTCAAGGTCAAAACGTTTTACAGGTTCCCAGAATAAGTAGCCAAGATATGGCCGAAGGGCACATTTTAATTCAGGAAATTGTAGATTGCCACTCTTATCCCGTTTTTCGAGAAGGTTGTCGCGCACTTTATCTATAATATCTGATTTATCGATAACAGGAGCGTTTCCAACTAAACTGACTGTCATGGATAGTGCTTCGATGCCATAAATGTCTTCGGCCGCCATGTGACTATCAAACAAGGGCACGATTTCTAGTCCGATTAATAATTTCCCGAGTAGGGCGACAATTTGTCGAAGGACAGAGAAAACCCCTATTACAGGCAATGATAGTATAATTACGGTTAGGGTGACTGAAATTATAAATAATTTGGCAAATATGATATATAAGCCATTTAGAAAAAATCCAAGTAAGGTTAAGTTATCCATGTTGCCCAATTGAGAAAAAATACGCACTGAATAGCTAACAAATATTGTATGCCAACAATACTGTCAGTACGTATGGAACACTAATTTCCCAGCATATTTATCATAAAAAATTACCATCCAGCAGACCCGTGATGGGGAAGCCCGGTTACGAAATGTGTGTATCTTAATAGCCCAAACATTGTGAGAACAAAATAAATACGTACCACAATAAATTCTTTAATAGGTTTACAAATTGCTAATTAATACATAAGTATGTATTTAGGTAGTTTAACATTTCTAATCATTCAGGATCTATAAGTTTGTAATTACTCAAGCAAGGATTTATCCAGGTTCACTTGGATTCTTTACACTAGATATGTTTTCATAATATTTGAGAAATATCTAGTTTTATATATTAAAGGTAAGGAGATTGCGATTTATACAAAGCAATAAAAAAATCGCACCACAGATTATTATATGAATCAATTTCAAGCATACCAGGATAGTGTCTTGGCATCGTTTTATTGATAAGCGACAATAATATCAATAATTATTTTATACGATAGAGTTGTCTACAACATTTCTTGGTTTGTCTACCTTGCTTGCAATTTACATATATCTAAAAAAATCCAAACAAAGCTACTGAGGGGGGGGGGCACTCTAATTTACTTGAGTTTGATTCGAAATCTTAAGTAAACCCTTCGAGTATGAATTTTCTAACTATGCTCAAATGCAGTCCATTACTTCTAGACACATGTAGTAGTTTTTTTTTCTAGATTTTCTGGTATCTAGGGCAATTATACTTTAGGGTATAATTCTGGGTCACTTTCCACGACTCCTGATTTATAAGTTTCCAAACTCAATGCCACGTAACCGCTGGTTGACTGGTATTTTTTGACAAAATTAATCGTGCTTTCTTTTCATGTATAAACCGTATAGCTTCAGAAGGTTTTCATAAGTACTTTTTTTGTTTCCAATTGGGATTCATAAGTAATTATGAATATAAAAAACTTTCTTTATTAAACGCAACCGCACATGGAATTAATGACCAGTAGAAACGTATATGTATTGTCGGAAACGAATAAATTGCTAGTGAGATTTCTGTCTCAAGAACATTTATGATACTCATTCTTACCTTAAGCTTTTATCACAAAGTCTATCGACTATGTATTGACCGATGTACAATTAACTAGACCTAACCTAGACTAGACTTAACCTAAATATGTTTATTATTTTGTATGTGAGGTAAACCTTCATAAGACATCGTTGGGGGATCGACTTATCTGAATTGAATACAGATTCTGTATCGGTTCTACATATTTATTTCGTACTAGTCGCCAAGCCCGTCCAAGGACGGGCATGGCGCAAGGCCCGTCAGACTATTAAAACTCAGCAAAATGTCAGATTGACCTGATGTGTTTGAAACTTTTGTCATTCGACCTCATGACTTATCAATAGGCACAATTTGTATTTATTTTGTCAAAACTTTTGTCAATATTTTTGTCAAAATAAGGGAGGCAAAATTTGTCCTTAAATTTTTTGTCAAAATTTTTGTCAAAATTTTGTCAAGATTTATTCGGCTTCGGAGTGAATGAATGAATGAAAGAGTTACACTGGGGTTATATAAGGGAGGATGGAAACCGTTTTCTGTGCAGAAAGGGAGTTCGCCATAACGACAAACATAACAACGCAAATTAAGTATTTGCGAATTTTGAAAGAAATGTTTCAAATTTTTGCTTTAATTTTTTGTCAAAATTTTTGTCATTCGACTCCATAAACAATCTCCAGACTAAATTTTTACCTCAATTTTTTGTCAAAACTTTTGTCAAAATTTTTGCCAAAATGGGGGAGACCAAATTTTTCCTTTAATTTTTTTGTCAAAACTTTTGTCAAATTTAGTTTGCTTCGGAGTGAATGAATGAATGAAAGAGTCACACTGGGTAATTATAAGGGAGATGTAGAAAAAATTTCACCATACCAACTAATGTTGGCCGGTCTGTGTATATACATATGTATATATTTGAACCAAAGTTTATGTACAGAATCCCACTATGTGTAAATTTGCTTGCACATACCCCCTCAGATGTAGACAATCGTAAACATTACAATTTACATTAACTTGAATTATGTACTGTGGCACCTGCAATTTTAAACTCATTCTTTTTAAAGAAATATGGAACTTCAGGAACTTCTGGGTTTAATTGCCTATGCAATGTTATCAACAAATTATTTGTGATTATAATCACAACAATAATAGTCATTTCAGTTTCGATCCCTGGGGATATGTTTTTTTTTACCTCGTTCGTCAAACTGTCGCCTTGCTTGGGAAATTTTTTCTTGGTCTGAAAATAGCTCCATTGTTTGACACCTCCCTCGCTGGTGAAAACGTTTATAGTACGAAAGCCCTCACAATGTCGGTGACCCTTATAGCAGACGTTCCAGCTATACAAAAAGAACGAGTAATGCAGAAGGTGCAAGAAAATCTGCTAGAAAAACGAGACAGCGAAGGAAATCTGCAATTTCCTGAATTAAAATGTTCCCTTCGTATATTCCTGGGATATTTATTTTGGAAGCCTGTTAGAAATTTTAAACTTGAGGATCATGTAATTAACTATGAAGGTATGTGAATACATAATCACTTATAACGTTATTTGATTAATTGATCTAATCGCTTTAATGAAAATTTAAAAAAATTGTCAGACACAAAGCTTCCACTTCCGGATTGGTCTGACCCTGATGCCTTAAGAAAAATAACAAGCGAGACGTTGAGATGTCGCTGCTGGAGAAAAGACGCACCACTGTGGGAAATCATACTTTTAAGTAATGTTCCCAAATCACATTTGCCAAAAAATTCTGGCCATGGTTCACTCTTCATTTGGAGATTTCATCACGTGCTGATGGATGGTTATGGCAGATTTAAGGTGTTGATGCAATTATTTGGCAAGTTCGACAAAATATCGAATTCTGCCGTTCCATCAGCGGTATCAATATATGACGAAAAAATGACATGGAGTAAACTTCAATCAATTTGCGTTGCACCATTCAAACTTGCAGAGATTTGGCTCCCGCTAATTGGATGTCCTTTGAAAATTCCGCCAATTTTTAGTAGAAGATTCTACTAAATTATTTTTATTAATTACTTAATTGTAGTGTATTTAATTCTAAATTTTAAGGCAATGGGAACAAAATACTTTTCCACGCTACTATAAAATTTCCCATGGTTGACCTCAAAGCTATCAGAATGAAGCACAATGTCGACCTAACATCAATTTTGGTTGCCATAATTTCTGGTGGGGTTCGCCGATTCCTGCTCAAATATAATCAAGATGTTCCCAATAAGTTAGGAATAATGTGTCCCATGCCGATGCCAAATCATCCAGATAAATTACCAAATTACGTGTAAGAATACTTGTCAACATAGGACAGTAAAAGATGAATGAAGTGTAACATTGAACTCTTATATATATAAATTCGTTTAGAAGTGGAGGAGTTTTTCCTATACCGTTGCTGGAAACAAATAATATTAACCGACTGCGGGAGATTTCGGGTGGTTGTTCAACGTTCAGAGACAAAAGTATCGTTCCACTGAATCATTTTATTTCAAAACTTCCCGGGTTGTTCCCACAGTTTGTGATTTTGACGTGCCGAAATTTATTTTCACTTCCTCCCCTCTTTTTAACGAATTTGGTTGGCCCCATTGAAAAATTGTTGTTTGATGAAATCTCAATTACAGATATTAAGGTGGGAGTAAATATGCCAAAAGATGGGCCTCGAGGTAGGAAAGTATTCAGAAATTTTATTTTAGACTAGTAGGAAAGATTTATTCCAGGTCCTCTTTGTTATTGCAGGTTTTTGCTTCGCATTTCTTACGTAAGAAGGACAAGCTAACCTAGCGGTTTCTGGATTCAATGAGTATTTGGAATCAAACCAACATGCCGATGAACTTTTAGAATATTGCAAGGAAGAAATGAAGGAGTTGGAGTCGTGTACACGAAACATTGACAGCTCATGCATTTGCTAACTTGTACATAAAATATGAATGTTTCTGGTTTGCTTAGTGCTTGAACTTCGGACATAGTTGAAAAAAACAGAATGTGAATAAAGTTGTGTTTATTAATTTATCACATCTACAGAAACACAAAACAAAATATGTAAATTGTAATTTTATTAAACTTTCAACGAGCAAATAATTTGATTGGCAATAACATTTACTTTGTTCCCACGCTTCTATCTAACGATTGGTTTAAGCTTTAGCCGTTGGCCGCTCAATCACATGGTTGAGAGATCAAAAATTGCCCTACCCCCAGGAAGCTCATAGTAGGGAAGATCATATTTGGCTGACATCGCCTTATACCTCACTAGATAGGATCGGAACGATGGCAAGGTTGGAAAGAGATGATGCACGACTTCAAATTTAAACACCCCGTCAATAAACAACCCAAAAGCTGGACTGGATATTCGCTGTGTGGCGAAATTTACTTTGTGGGGTGGCTGAACTACTCATAAATTGAGATAGCCCGACCAGCGGCGGTAACGCATTGAAGGCTAATTGCCGCCTGGCGAAATGCATATTCTACACAGTGTGTTTGTTTTTTCTTCGGTGACGCAACAGCCAAAAACCAGGGCCCCGCACGAACGACAAAAACCTCTGCAGTTGGGGCCCGGCGAAGCCAGAAGATTCCATTCCAAGTGAGCACTCAAAAGGTCTCAGAGATTTCACGCCCAAACGATGCGTCGGAGAGAAAAGTTACAAGAGACAAAATAGTTAGAGAATATCCTAACTTAATTTCATAATGATTCAGAAATTTTAATTTTTTAGTTCTTATGGTAGAATTTGATTTTTGATTGTTTAAGACCGGCTGATTTGGACCTAAAACTAAGTTGATTTTCTTCATAGTTTCTGAAATTATTTGTGAGATCAAGCTCTATTTTTTTCGTTTCACCAACTTTTACGTACAATGTCAATTTAATAACTTAGATGACAATTTAAAAAAATTACCAGTGCTGGAGCTGTAAATAAGTAATCCAATTACCTTGTACTCTATATGTAAGACGTGATGGCCTAGTGGTTAGCGCGTCCCGCCTGAATTCTAGCTTTCCTAGGTTCGAAACCATATGTAGCCAATAAAATTTTTGCACAAATTTTTTCATCATACCGAATATCATTTTGTATGGAATTTAATTCTGTAAATATTTTTGACCTCTGACCTCCCGTAGACCTTGTAGTTGAGGTTAAAGGTCAAAATCACGTTGTTGCATGTGGGGTGTCATTCCAAAAGCACATTTCACCCAGAATTCGATGGGACCAATATTTTTTACTTTTGACCTTCCTGTGACCTGTTCGGCGAGGCCAGAGGTCAAAAAATGGGATTTTCCCCTTTTTTGAGTATCTATCGAAAGGTACTGTCCAGTACGTTGATATTACGTTGACATGTCGATGCGGGGTGAATTGCGACGTGGAAATTTGAGACATATATGACAAGAAAGTTACAGGAATGTAGGTATGTATGTGTGTGCCCTAATGACAATTCTATGCGGTTTCTACTCTTTTCTCCAGTTGGTTTGCAACATTAATTTACATTATCTCTATTTTACTTACTTTTTATGTAAGAGTATTGATAAGTTAGTTGAGTGTTATGCATTGGCGTCCGACAAACTTAAATTTTTAGAAACTGCCAAACTAGACTACAACGATCAATTTGCACACGTTTCGGCCTTGAATGTTAAAACTGCGCAAAATCCACCATTTAGAATTGACTTTGTGTATCCAGTGGAGTGCAACTACTAATTAATTTAATTAATTGGGTATTAATCGGAGTAATACCCAATTAATCAGGATTAATTTAATCCTGATTAGTTTACGTTTTTAAATGGTCAATCACAATCCCGCTATCTTGGGTAATCCGGATTAACTGAACTGCCAACTCTGATTAATTATTACAATTAAAATACATTTTCATTCCAGTGTGCCGAATTCCTACCCACAAACGTTGAAAATACAAAACGGCAAAATGGCATGTAGTTTTGCACTGATTTTGGTGTATGACATAAATTTGCTGCTGTTCCTTAGTCATGCAGGTTTATATTAATCAATAAGATTGCTTGAAGTATTTGAGATTGTATTTTCTATATTTGCATCGAAAAACTACAAAATAAATTATTTTTGTGGAAAAACAGTCTTCGGTGAGATAGTGAGTCGCGAATAAAAAAAGAAAACAAGAAATTGTGTATTTTTTAATTCGATAGGGATAACACAACAGAGAAATAACTTACCACTTATTAAAAAATTACTATCCAAATTACTGACAAGTTGCCTCACCGTGGGCCCAACGCCTTTAACAAAATTATTTAAGAACCGAAATTATGCATTTTATATATTACAGTAAGATCTGCAGCCTAACCTGATTTTAATCAAGTTAAGTTGCCCACTAAAGTTGACAAGCATCTTAGTAAGTAGTCTGACGCAAAATAAATTGTATTGTATTCGGGATAACTAGGTTTTTTTTGATAGCCTGTCTATAACCTACGACCTACCGTGATTATCCGACGAAATATGCGAATATTGGCCCAATGGTTAGAACTAGTTAATTGTCAATTTTATAAAACAACCGAAAACAATAGAACTTTACTCTTCAGCAATATTCATGATCCCACCTTAAGATAATAGGAAACAAAAACTGGTGAAAATTCGATACCACCTCAAATAAATTCAATCACTGTTCCAATTTTTTATAAGATGTTGGGCCCACGGTGAGGCAGCTTGTCAGTAATTTGGATGGTAATTTTTTTAATAAGTGGTAAGTTATTTCTCTGTTGTGTTATCCCTATCGAATTAAAAAATACACAATTTCTTGTTTTCTTTTTTTATTCGCGACTCACTATCTCACCGAAGACTGTTTTTCCACAAAAATAATTTATTAGCGACCGCAATGGGACAAAGCAAAGTTTCCAAATAGACTCCTTCAAACCACACCTCAAAAATAGTGGTGCATGGAGCGGCAAAGAATAATACGATCCACAAGTGTATTGCAATCATTACCATGTCAAAATAATTCCTGTACTTGACGATTCTTCAAGTATGACTGCTGTACCATTACAGCCACCATGCCATCGTAGCAAGGAAATAATCCATAGTGAGGAAAAACCATTTCTAGCAAGTTTTATTGGAATGTTGTTGTTAATAAGTTTATTATATAAAATAAATGCTATCATGTAGTATTTAGTTGCCATAAATTCAGTGCTGTACCTGATTTTGAATATGGAGAGATCAACATAAATTCTGACGTATGTACCTGAAACAAATTAAATAATTTCCGTCCTACGAGATATACGTATTCAGCTATCAAGTACAACAGAAATAACTACATATCTGGCATCAGATTTCACAATTCTTTATATTTTCGAGTCACAAGTACTTTGTTCTTGGGATTTCCAAGTAATTATATAAAAAAACTTTACTTGCTTCATTAAGCATTACCCCTCCTGGAATTAATGAGCAGTAGAAACGCATTGTGGGAAACGATTAAATTACAAGCCAGAAGTCTGTTTCCACCTGAAGATTTATGGTACTAATTGTTACCTGAAGCTTTCATATCGCTAGGTTCATCAACTAACTATTGACCAATACACAATTATATGTATTTATTATTTTGTAGGGTAAAATTAGGTAAAATTTTCTTACGGAATCAATTAAAAGTTTTTCACTTGACTTGAACATCGGCTTTACATAAATACATGGTCTGATTGAACTTAGGATTTGGAACAAATATGCTAAAATCTACATATCGTCGGACTAATTATGAAAGGGCCGAAGTGCAGTCGATGCTTAATACCGAAAGGGCCCAAGTGCAAGCATGTTTTTACTTATGGCTAAATCGCGCGATATAGGAAGAATCGCTTTGGCAAGATATAGCCATAAGCATATACATGCTTGCACATAGGCCCTTTTTAATTTCTTTCTGTGCACTTAGACCCTTTTGGAATTATGCATCGACTGCAGTTAGGCCCTTTCGGAATTAGTCCGACGATATAGACATATTTCCGGCACTTCAATTGTATGTAAGAGATGTATACACTTTTTAACTTTCAATTTAGGCGAAAACCTTGAACGTTTTGTGAACCATGTCTAGTCTGGTGTATGAATTTTTATTATTTTCATAAATTAAATATGAATGCAAAACTAATTTAGTAAGTGAATCGGCGTTTGACGTTATAGACACATGCATAAAACCTGATGAGTTGATAAATAATTTTTTGGCCCGTACTTTCCTGGAAAATGAAATTGAATTCGGTACAACATAAATTACCCATGTTTAAATAGTATGTAATTATGACAAAATATAAGTATACCTTATTATTAATAAGATGTACTTTTTCCTAGATTTACTTTAGGTCTAAAAATATCCAATAGCAATTTTTTAACCAGTTGCAATTCCTGAACGTACATATGTCGATATAGGAACTCTAGTACAGAAGTACATATACATATATTTCCACATGTACATTATTCTGTGTTTGCTTATAATTTGATCAAATTCTACCTATTTCCCCACTAATCGTACGTAGCTAATCAAAGTTGTAAATTTGATTGTACTGAATTGGTGAATTCATAGTGGCTATACCACGATCTCTTTTTAATATGTATCCACTTACACAGAGTTGGAATCTGTACATTTTTTCTACATAATATGTAGACACAAAATTCACCCTACCAACCAATGTTAACCGAACCGTGCACATATACATACATATGTATATATCTAGAAAAACTGTACAGATATGTGTAACCATCCCTATACATTTACTAGTCCATACATACTTATGCACAATCTTAACTACAGACAAAGGTGATCATTACATTTTACATGAAGTACTGTGACCGCTGAACTTTTTAAAATTATTCTTTCCTAAGAAATATGGAAACTTCAAGAACTTCTGTTTCCTGTTGCATGTACAATGCTATAAATAAAATATTTGTAATTATTATCACAGTAATAGTAATTTTGGTACCAATTCCTGTTTTATGTTTTTTCTACATCCTACGTCAAACCGTGGCGCTTCTTGGGAAATTTATACTTGGTCTGAAAATAGTTCCATTATTCGACACCTGTCTGGCTGGGGAAAATGTTTATGGTAAGGAAGCCCTCACAACGTCGGTGACCTTTGTAGCAGACGTTCCATCTATACAAAGGGAACGAGTAATGCAGAAGGTGCAAGAAAATCTGCTAGAAAAACGAGACCGTGGAGGGAATCTGCAATTTCCTGAATTAAAATGTGCCCTTCGTCCGTTTCTGGGTTACTTATTTTGGAAGCCTGTAAAAAAGTTTAAACTTGAGGATCATGTGATTAACTATGAAGGTAACTACGATAATGATATTATATTTAGTCTGATTAAATATTTGCTTAATCGAATATCAATAAGTTAATGTACATATCTGAGTTTCAAAATTTTTGGTAGACACCGAACTTCCAATCCCAGACTGGTCTGACCCAAACGCCCTAAGGAAAATAGCAAGTCAGGTATTGAGATATCGCGGCTGGAGAAAAGACGCACCATTGTGGGAAATTATACTTTTAAGTAATGTTCCCAAATCACATTTGCCTAAAAATTCTCGCAACGGTTCACTCTTCGTTTGGCGATACCACCACGTCCTACTGGATGGTTATGGCACATTTAAGGTGTTGATGCAATTATTTGACAAATACGACAAAGTCAAGGACTCAGTTGTACCATCAACGTTGTCAATATTCGATGAGAAATTGACATGGAGGAAGCTTCAATCAATTTGCACTGCGCCATTCAAACTTGCAGAGATTTGTCTCCCACTGGTTCTGTGCCCTTTGAAAATTCCGCCAATTTTTAATGGTTAGTCACAACGTCCAGTATGAAAATTTTATCCGACTTTCTCCAGGGATTTGGCCTAATTTTCTGCGGAAAAACTTTACGCTGAAAAAAGTATGCAAAAACTATACAGGATTTTGCATACACTTTTATGCAGGGCTTACCAAACAGAAATCTTCTGAAGAATTAGGCAAATATTTCCTGCAGAAAAGAACACTTCTGTAGAATTCGGCACACAATTTTCATACGGGATGTGCTTATGTGCATACTTTGTATTATAGAGTTATTAATTCTGTTGTATTTAATTCCGACCTTTAAGGCAATGGGAACAAAATACTTTCCAGCGCAACAATAAAATTCCCCTTAGCTGACCTCAAAGCTATCAGAATGAAGCACAATGTCGACCTAACATCAATTTTAGTTGCCATCATTTCTGGTGGGGTTCGACGATTCCTACTCAAAAATAATCAAAACCTTCCCAACAAATTGGGAATAATGTGTCCCATGCCGATGCCAAATCATCCAGATAAATTAACAAATCACGTGTATGCAGAGTTACCTATTAAATACATATTGACAAAGATTTAAAAATATTGGTATGTGACATTTTGCTATTATGTTAATTTTTATAGAAGTGGAGGAATTTTTCCTATACCGTTGCGGGAACCAAATAATATCAGCCTACTGCGGGAGATTTCGTTGGCCTGTTCTACTTTCAGAGATAAAAGTATCGTTCCACTGGGTCATTTTATTGGAAAACTTGCGGGGCTGTTCCCACAGTTTGTGATTTTGACACATCGAAATCTCTTTTCACTACCTCCCCTCTTTTTAGCGAATTTGGTCGGCCCAGTAGAAAAATTGTGGTTAGATGATATACCAATCATGGATATTAAGATGGGCGCAAATATCCCAAAAGATGGGGCTCGAGGTGAGAAAATAAACGTAAACTTTATTATGTAGCCACAATTATTCCAGACAGTCGTTGTTGTGCAGGTTTTTGCTTCGCATTTCTTACGTATGAAGGAGAAGCTAATTTATCAGTTTCTGCATTCAATGAGTATTTGGAGTCAAATCAACAGGCCGATGATCTTTTGGAATATTGCTGGGAAGAAATGAAAGAGTTGGAGTCTTGATCAAATTATTTGCATATGTGCTACATGTTGAGGACTAACGTGAAATCAACTATCTATAATGTTGTCATGTATCAAGTTTCATAATTAATTTGTGACAATAGTACATTGCTTATTTTAAGTGGGAGTTCTATAAAAATAATAATAAAATGTTTTTAATTGTTCTGAAACATTTCATAGACTTACTTATATAAATTACGGTATGTACAAATGTATATTGGGAGAAAACATAAGGATTTATTAGGTTGCAGTGAAATATTCCAGCATGTACATATTCATAAGCACCTAGGTAGATAAACATTACTGCACTATACTTTTAGTGTTACACTTGCCTATGTACTAGGTACTTGTATATTTATGCATAATTTGCTGTAAATTCAGATTGCATGAAAGAAAACGCCAGAAAACATTTCTCAGTACGTTAATCAACATATTTTAGTATGCATACCTAGTAGTTTGTTGCAATGTTAAAAGACAAATCATTTGTTGTTCTTTTCAGAACCTCGACAAAGTTTATGAATTTTTGATTTATTTGAACATTTTTATGGTTTGATTTTTTTTATTTCGAGCGAAATATGTATTTAGAAATTTCTTAGATCAGTCTGGAATATAATCTGGATTGTTAAGTAGGTTCATCTGTCTGAAGGAAGATTACGCTTGAGCTGTTTTAACAAGCGCAATTATATCCTCAGTGGTACTATCTTCAGGAATTTCATCTTGAAATCCAAATCTAGAACTAAGTTGATTTTTAAGCTCGATAAACATTAACGAATCCATTCCCATATCCCTGAGTTGAACATCTTTTAGAAGTGACCCTCGAGCTCGCAAAATTTTAGATACAACTGCAGCAATTTGGTCTTCCAAACTCATGACGGTCAAATTCATATCATCTTGTCCAACTGCTGTTTTGTGGTTTATAATTTCTTCGATCTGGTCCAAGTCTAAGTAATTTGGGAACCAACCAGTCCGCGCGTCATCACTCCACAGAGTTGGGGCAACTGTTCCGCCAAGGTTGGATTTCATGATTGTCTCGAGTGCCTCAAGGCCAGCGGCGATAGAAAACGGCTGGACGCCAAATATATCTCGATTAATGTTAGCTGTCATCCCCAATTCTTCCCACTGTCCCCATGCAATGCATGTTGCCGGTAAGCCAAGACGATGTCGATAAGTTACAAGACTCGCCACGGCTGCGTTTGCTGCTGCATAATTTCCTTGACCAATGCCACCTAGTAAGCTCACCGCTGATGAAAATAAGACAAAGTGCTCCAAATTGATATGTCGCGTTGCGTAGTGTAAGGCCCAGGCACCATTAACCTTACCACTGTACACTGTCTCCATTTTGGACATGTTTTGTTGTAGTAAGGTTCCATCAGATATAACACCAGATGCATGAATGATCCCACGGAGTGGTGACATTGATCTTGAAATTTCTGTCACAAGTTGCGTGACCTGAATTAAAAAACAATATTTATGGATGGATTATAAAAAAACTTATCCGTAATACAATTAATAAGTTCATATTTAAATGAAAATTTCACCACTAGCTCACCTGGTTTTTATCCCCCACGTCAACAGACTTAATTATTACACAGGATACATCCAAATTGTGGTCCCGTAGTTTTTCAATTGTCGCCTCTGCTAACCCTTCTCCTCTGCGGCTAACAAGAAATAAATTCTTAGCGCCCGATGATAGCATCCATTTTGCGACTTCAAAACCAACGCCTCCCAATCCTCCCGTTATGAGGTAGGTTGATCGGGTATTAAAGATTTGCCCGGTAAGATTTACAACCACCTTCCCAATATGTCTTGCCGTCTGAAGTTCTATTAATGCAGATGTGATATATTCCTGGCTAAAAATATTTACTCTTAGGGGCTTCAACTTTTTATTTTCAACCCAATCGTTTAGACGCTCCATTAAATAAATTGCACGCGGAGCGTCTATAATACTTAGATCTTCTATTGAATATTTTACGTCAGGCCTCTGTTCGTAAACTTCCTCTACACGCCAAATATTTAGTTTGCTCATTTCAATAAATTTTCCACCATTTTTGGTAACCGAGAGTGAAGCTTCCTTCCAGCCTTTCGAGGTCAATGAGTTTAGAACAAGGTCTACTCCCTTCCCTGCGGTTAATTCCAGAATTCCCTTAGCAAACGAAGTATCTCTGCTGTTGTAAATATGAGTTAACCCTAGTGATCGTAAATAAGCTCGCTTTCTTTTGCTACCAGCCGTAACGATTATATTTGCCCCTAGGGATTTCGCAATTTGAATCGCAGCCAATCCCACGCCCCCCGATGCTGTGTGTATTAATGCAGTCTCTCCTTCCTCCAATCTTCCAACCGAAACGAGACAATGATACGCCGTAATAAATGCGGTAGGCAGAGACGCGCCTTCTGAATGACTAAAATTTAGTGGAAGTCTGGCTACAAAGTCCGCATTTAAGGTCACATAATTTGGAAGCGGTTGCGGTAGGGGATTCATTCCTATTACACCATCACCAACTGCCCACCTTGATACAGAACTCCCAATGGCGACAATCGTTCCCGAGAAGTCAGCTCCAACTCCGTGAGAATCGCGAAACTCCGCAGTAGGCTTCATTATGTTTAAAATGTCTTTGAAATTTAACCCAGATGAATGAACACGTACTTCAACCTGGGAAATATGAAACATGTTATCAAACCATATAACGTGTGTATCATAACTTATATGCAGGGAATTATGCTTTAATATAATTACCTGATTGCGACCCAATTCCGAAACGGATAGTGGTGCTTCTTCCCAAACCATATCTTGAATTGAACGTGAACTAGGAAGTTTAAGTTGCTGTTTCAAGTTGATCTTTCTAGATATGGACGACATCTTACACATTTGCAGGCGTACTAATGTGGCCAGATACTTTTGCCCATCTCTGTAGCATATTATGGGTTCTTCATTCCATTTGGTAGTTGGCTTTTCCAATTCTGACAGAATTTGTGTTATTCTAGCATCCAAATTTTCAGAATCATGTAAATCCAAACAAGTCACATGAATATTTATGGCTTCAGTGGCTAGATTACGGGAAAGGGCTACGACTGGAGAACCAGCTGAAATTATCGCTTCTTCATCAGCAATATTTACTTCGTTGTGGGTGATAACAAGTACCTTACAACTCTTTTTCCTCATAATGAGTTCCTGAGCTAGCCTGAGAAATGAATCCAGCACTGGAAAATGCTTTCGTGTGTGATCTTCATTTAAATTTTCATTTTCGGTTGGTACACAAAATATAAGCAAATCTGTACTCGCAACAACATTAGATGTGTGGGTAACATTTAAATCTATATGTGTTCCCATGTGTTTTGGAAGAACATTTTCTAAAGCATTGGCGATTAAACATTCCTCGCTGGAAACTAGTAGCCAGTTATATGTGGGAATTGTTGAATGTTGGTTGACGGAATTTGTGGCAACAATCACTCCCATCCCAACGTCTTTACTTTCTAGTGATTTGGTAGACTGGAATCCTGCACAAGCTAAAACATTTTCCCAACCTTCTAGTCCAATAATGCAATGAGTTACTCGGTGCGTATCTTCAAATTTCCAGTAACCTTCACAATGACCGAAAACAATGTCTACGACTGCTGATGGTCTGAATTGTTCTCCAATTACTAAATGTCCACCGGCAGTAAGTAGCTTCCTAAGATTGGTACACACTTTTTGAACGTCTTGGGTGGCATGAAGTACGTTAAATGCAATTATTATATCGTAATCATGGTTATCAAGTCCTTGGCTTCGCGCATCATTTTGAACATCGAAGGTGCAAAACTCGAACGTGATGCACTTAGTCTTGGATAAAATACGCTCCGCAGCGGATAGGAAGGATGGTGAAATATCTGTGAAAGTGTAAGATGTATGGTAATACTCTAGAAGCGGAATTAAGTTCTTCGTCGCACTCCCTGTTCCTGCTCCAACTTCCAAAATTTTCAAACTGCTTCCTTTCTTGAAACTCTTTTCAAGTAAAAACGATACCATTGATGTTAAGTTTTTGAGCAATCCAACATTTGTGGTGAAATTTGTGTACAATTTGTCAGCAGAAAATTCTGCTTCTGTTGACGATGCCGCAGGGAAGAGATATGGAAGGACCGATTCCGTCCCGAGAAGAAATGATCCAAGTTTGGCACAATAGAAATTGGCAAACTTCCACTCCTCAAGTACAGAGTGAAGGACTGTTTCGTCACATTCCATTGCATTTTTGAAATCTTGTATAACTTCCCATTCTGAAAAACGCTCGAGTTTCTTTAAATACCCCGCTTCCTCAATGTAATGCATCAATCTAACAAAAAATCTTGGATTGACTTCGTGAAGATTAAGTTCATTAATTACTTCAGTAGCTTTTACTTTGCTTCCTATACACCATTTCCAACCAAGTTTGCTAAATGTTGATACGATTCGACTCAAAATGAAGTCTTGCAGAGGTTGTAGTTCAACAAGTGCGTCATCAGAAAGTTTAAAGGGCTCCGGAATGCGAACAGAACTATTGTGTAAGTCATCTATTTGAGTATCCATCAATTCATTCGATGTACGCCACTCTTCGATGTAGATAGGAAGAGAATTTCTGATATGTTTTGTTAAAGATTTTTCAAGTTGTTTGATAGTTGTCGACACTGTTAAAAGTCCAGTTATACTAGCCACCACAGTCCAAGTGGATTCATTGGAGTGTATATCCGGATGTGTAGTTGCCACAACAAGTCTCATTGAGTATCCGGATCCAACAATTTTCAGTAATGCCTTATCCATAGTGCGTGGAGGCCTATATAACCTTAGTGATTTTATTGAAACGGGTAATTTAAATCCGGTTATTTTATTTCCCATCATCAAAAGGCTACTTTGAATTAAGGTATCGATTATGGTTGGATGCATGAGGTATCCTGCTTCAAGAAGATTATCAGCTATTTTTACATCACTGTTGAAACTTGTTGCTTCCTTATCGTAAACTATATTGTTCAGCGTCCTAAATGCTCTCCCAAAATTATAGCCAACAATTTTCATTTCTTCATAAAGGTTTTCAAATTCCCTCGTAGTTGCCATATCGAAGGTGGAGATAATCGGGTTTTTATCCACCGCTTCTGATTCGTCCACACTAGGCGATATTACCCGTGCAATGGTGGTAGCGTGGAGCTTTTGAGAATCGTATACGTCAGAGGAAGGATCCCTGCTGAGAAAGGATATCGTGTAGATTTCAGCCTCCTCGCTTACTTGTACACGTGTGTAAAACTCAGCATTTGTCTCCAATGATAAAGCCGCTTGAATTTGAAAGTCACTCAGTTCAATTCCAAATTTTGACATTCCAGTGTTTTTATTGTTTATGCGTTTAATTGTGTCAACCGCAGCGAAAGCCATTTCTGCATAGCCAGCCGCTGGGAAAATAATGTGTGAACCCAATTTATGATCGCGAAGCCAGTCACTAGTTATCGGTTTCGACAGCAACCGTGACGTGGAATTAATGAACGCGTAGTTATTTTCCACCAGGGTTGGTAAACATGATCCCAATAGCGGGTGAATCTCTCTACTATTAAGAAAGTGTGATGACTTTACGGAAGGGACTGAGGTGAACCAAAATGCTTCCATTGTCGTAAAAGGATATAGTGGCACAAAGCTTGGGATTTTGTAAGGAGGAGCCAATGTCAAACTTGCCCAGATTTCGGACCAATCCAAGTTAACCCCATTGCTATACAATGAGGCAGCAGTGTCCAACATGGTTATAATATCGTCTGCTCCTTTCCTCATGGACGGCAAGAGTAGAACTTTTCTATTTGATATCTCTGTATTTGCTTCAGCAATACTGCTAACTAATGGGCATAGTACTGGATGCGGGCCAACTTCCAAAAATATTAATTCCCTTCCAATTTGAAGGGCTGATTTAGCCCCTCCAATAAATTCAACTCTTTGCCGCATGTGCTTTCTCCAGTAATTGGATTCTATCGTTTCATACTCATTAATTAGTCTTCCGTAAACTGAGGATATATAATCGACGGTTCTAAATCTAGGTGGATAATTTAATTGAGCTGCTTCGGATTCAAATTGGTTAAGTATTGGTTCTAATGATCGTGAATGAAAGGCATGAGATACATTTAGAACAGTATTTTTATATCCATGTTTGTTGCTGAAGATAGAAAATCTCGCAATAATCTCCTTTGTAGATGAGATTACTGTTTGCTCGAATGAATTTACGGCTGCAATATCTATCCAGCTGTCTGGTTCTGCCACGTCCTTCATAAAATTGTTTATCAAATTTGTAGTTACATTTTCATCAGCTTTAAGCACGAGCATTCCTCCTTCTTCTAGATTTTGAAAAACTTTAGTTCTGGATGTCACAAGCAATTCAAGAGCAGTTGGGAGTGACAAAGCCCCGGCAGCTACTGACGCCGCAAATTCTCCGAACGAGTGTCCAAGAACAATTGAGGGAACAATTCCCCATGCACACCAAACTTTCAGAAGACAATATTCGACAGCAAATATGCAAAGTTGTGAATAAATTGTTGTGCCAGTGCCGTCAAAGACTAGGGCCTTTAAATTCAGTCCATAATTCTTTGCTGCGATGTCATCCATAATATCCAGATGATGTCGAAAAATAGAACACCTTTCATACAAACCTCGCCCCATTCCTGGATACTGACAACCTTGCCCGGGAAATAGAAAGCAGACTTTTGATTTCACATTTGATTTGTGAGGCATGGGCGGCTCTAGGTTATTGCCTGATACAATTGCTTGAATGAGGTCCTTCGTGGTAAACCCAACAACAGCATCCCGGTATTCATTGAAGTGGTCTCGACAAACTGCGGCTGTGTAGCAATAATCTGCTAGCTGACTTTCTACATAGTAACATCACAATTACTTTTCATTATCATACATTTTAATTATGTTTTAGTATGGAAAAAAACTGCATTTTATACCATTCAAATTCTGCAGAGCAAGAACGTGTCTCTTCTTTAAAGCAGCCATTGCGTCTGAACATTTCGCTGAAAGCGGGAGGATATAGGCGGAAATCCTATCAGATTGTGATCTGCTGTCCTGCGTCACCGAAGCACGCTCAACTATGAGATGCGAATTTGTTCCCGTAATACCAAATGAAGAGACACCTGCGTATTTTCCTTTCCAGGGTAGCAATTCCAACGGTATATGCAAGCCGTCCAAAATTAGCTTAGGGTTGAGTGCAGAAGTTATTCTCTGCAATGGAATTTCTTCATGTTGCATCGCCATCACTACTTTAAGCAATCCTGCCGCTCCAGATACACTCTCTGTATGACCTATGTTTGCCTTCACCGATGTAATTATCAATGGTTTCTTTCGCACTTGTCTGCCAGCGTCCAATCCGTATGCAATTCTAGTTGCTGCGACTTCAATTGGGTCACCAACTTTGGTACCAGTGCCATGCATTTCCAACCAGTCAACGTCAGCTGGCGAAATATCGGCATCCTTTAGTGCTAGCGTCATTGCACGTGCTTCTCCATCAATCGTTGGCGTACCGGCAGATCTGGACAGACCGTCTTGCGAGGTCCCATAACCAGAAAGGATGGCGTATATATGATTTCCATCCCGTCTTGCATCAGTTTCTCGTTTCAAGATGTACATGATTACTCCTTCTGCTCGTGCAAAGCCATCCGCATCCGATTGGAACACTTTACAGCGGCCGGATGGTGAAAGCACACCCTGATCGTTAAAATTTAATTCATATCAAGTATAATAAATATAGTACCAGTAACGTGAAAACACGTACCTGGAACTCCTTGTAAAGGAAGGGCTTCAAGATTAAGTTAGCCCCACCTGCAACTGCAAGCCCGGTGCTGTTGTTTCTTAAGGCTGTCATAGCCGCTCCAATGGAGCATATTGTTGAGGAGCATCCAGTCTCGGTTGCTATAGCTGGTCCAGTTGTTCCAAACACATGCGCAATACGAGCTGCAGCATTCCCCATAGAGCAACCTAAATATCGTCGTAGTTCATTGCCAGCACTGCTTCCAGATTGTAAAAGTAGGTCGTTGTAATCTTCGCGCCAGAAACCGAGGAAAATCCCTGCATCCGTCCCATGTATAGTAGATGGTGGGATTCCAGCGTCCTCTAGCGCCTGATAATGTTTAAAATATTCAGTTATTGCTGCCACATTTAGCAACAATCTAACGATTACGACGTACTTCCCAACCTAACTGCAGCACCATTCGTGCTTGAGGATCCGTGTAGTCCAGTTCCATGGGCGATATTCCCCAAAATTTAGCGTCAAACGTGTCCACCGGGCAGGATAAATACCCAGCTTCGGTCAAACCATGTTCCGGAATTAACTCTGGGTTATCACGTTCAGGTTGAAACCGGTCCTTTGGTGCTTTTCCAATACAATCAGCCCCTTTGACAAGATTGTTCCAAAAAGTATTGTAATCGTTTGATCCCGGGAGTCGACAGGCCATTCCAATGATTGCGATAGGCTCGTTGTTGGAGTTGTTGTTTGCAAGCTTCGCATCCGATACTGGTATCGTTTTCGAGTTCTCACCTGTAATAGAATAAATAACTAAACATGTATTTACCCTTAAGCAGACGGAAGTATTTAAATATTCATAGGACAATATTGGCATTATGTACCAACTTGTATAAATAAAGCCCAAAAATACAATATTTATGCATTCATACCAATCGGAGGAAATCTAAAGGTGACGTGATCCCACAGGCGGAAACTGCAAGCTTCCGGGTCTTCATTCTCTGCCATCGTAACGACAAAGTCAAAGATTTTTTCCAATTTAGTGCTAAATTTATACATATAAAAATTTAAATAAAGAATTTCACAAAACTTATGTATGAAAACTTAGGTGCGTTATATAGTAAAGTCTATATATATACCATTCTTCAAACGATATGGCAGGTCCCACAAATACGGCAGAATTATGATGACCAACTTCTTCGTTTTTGTAAGTTTCCATAACCCATGGGATGTCGTCAACTTTTCGTATTCCGCCCACCCATATAGACGATCTTTGCTTCGTTCCATTCATTATTTCGGTTTTCATATTCACACACGTGATATTTCTGCGAGTCTGGATATTATGGAAATATTCAAATCGAAAGTCAACCGAAATTGGCTACTTACACATGAAAGGTTCCACTAGGAATGACAATCACTTTTATAATTTCACAATTCATAATGTAACTTTAGATAATTATTAACAATATGTAATAAAGCGTTGCAAACGAAATGTAGCAAAGGGGTGAAACCACGTGGTAATGTCCTTAGAACACCCCCATCATTCCCATCATTCCTACACCCCCATCACTTTCTCGTCATTTTCTATCATTGTCTCAAATTGCCCCAAGTCTCAAGTCGCCCCATCATAACACGTCACCCGCGAAATTTAAACGTCCTCAATCACACCTTTCGAACGACACCCCATATGGTCAAATTCATTTGTTTGACCTTTGACCTCGCCCAAAAGGTCATCCGAAGGTCACAGTTCAAAAATATTGACGCAATTGAATTCCTGGTGAAATTTCCCTATAAAATGATGCCCCACATGTCGAATAACCCCAAAAAACAGGTCGTGACCTTTTTGTGACCTATGACCTCCATCTTCGAACTTGACCTATATTTTGACCTCAAGAACACGTGGTAAAAATTTCAGGTCGAAATTCGCATCCGTTCGAAAGTTATCGTGTATACGGACAGACGGACGGACAGACGGACGGACAAGGCATTTCCATAAAGGGGCTTCACCCCTTAATAAAGCGAACCATGAAAGATAATACACAGGAAAGCATTTTGATTTGCAACATAAATCTAACCGTGTAAAATTTCCATGCATCAATCCGTCAATATCTGATTCCCACTAGCAGGTGTACTCTGCAATGTTAGTAATACATTAATTTCTTATATAGATTTTTTCAGTTGGGATATTACGACATTGCTGAGCAGAGTGAAAATTAACTGGTGCAATATATACCTTCAATTAAGCCGCTATGCTGGGTAATAACATATCTAATTATGTAAGGAAAACATTATATCGAAAGTTTTAATATAATTACGATTCTAGGCCCCTTTGTGGACTTAAATATTGACTACTTCAGATGGATAAAGTGGTCAATCACCATAATCTTGATCCCTTACATTCTGCCAGCATTTATTGCCATATTTTTTACCCTTAGTTCCTTGTACGCATATATTTATCAGATTTTTAGCAGGTAAAATTTCTAAATTAATCATTCAATAAAGTTTCTACTTCATTAATAATTCCTTGCCTTGCAGGAATAAGGCTGAATTAAATTCAAGTGGACAAAATACCTGCGGCCCATGGCATATATTTCTGTCCAGAATTTGGAATGCACAAGCCCGTTTATGGCACGGTTATGAGGTCGAAGGACTTGAAAATATTCCAGCAGATGGGCCCGCAATTATTGTCCATTACCATGGCGCCGTACCAATCGATGTTTACTATTTAATCGCCAAATGCATCACAGATCTTGGACGGTTGTTAAGTGTTGTTTCGGATCGTTCATTATTTAAAATTCCTGGTATTTCGTATTATGTACATATTCATTTTTCTTTATTTTGAGATACTTTAATTGATGTGTTCTATAATATAGGCTGGGGTCCACTTCTACAATTCATTAAAGCAACCCCTGGAGGGTTTGACACCTGTATGGGGATTTTAAACGAGGGAAACATCCTTATAATTGCACCCGGTGGGGCGTACGAACTGCAGTTCAGCGACAGCAATTATGAACTGAAATGGAAAAATCGAGTAGGCTTTGCAAAATTGGCATTGGCTGCCAAAGTGGTGAGGAATATGTAGCTTAATTATTAAATTCTGTCAGAGAATGACATTTCGATAAATTATACGATTTTATATTTGAAAATACATATTTATTTAGCATGGATTTACACATATAAAATGTATGTATTGTTTGTATGGTTATTTTTGTTTATTTTTTCAGCCCGTAATACCCATGTTCACCAAAAATATTCGCGAAGGATACCGAAATCTTACGTGGGGTTATAGATTTAGACACTGGTTTTACGCCACCACGAATCTCACTTTTGTCCCGATGTATGGATTTTTCCCCGTCAAATTGAAATCTTATATTGGAAAGCCGATATTGTATGATGGGAATAAGTCGCCAGAAATGCTGGCGAAACAGGTCAGGTTTTGGTTTGAGTAAATAAATAAGTAGTTGTTTACGTCATATTAAATATTAATGGTTCAATATAACATTTCGCAATTTGTTTCGCAGGTCGCAATGTCTATCGAAGACATTATTAAGAATCATCAACGCATCCCGGGAAGCATTCTGCATGCATTTGCAGAAAGATGGCTAACCTCATCTCAAGAGAAGACGGAATGATTTCCCAACTGTGTAGGAATAGCTCAGATAATAAATACATGTATTTCTAGTAAATCACACGAAATCTCGTTGTGCAAATAAATTTAAAAAACAATATGGCGATACTAAATTATATTTGCATCAATTCAAATCTGACACTTATAAGTCGGTTATAAAATATAACACGAAGTAGCGTCATTTATAAATTTTCTTCGCTTTACTCCAGTAAATGTTGACTGTATTAAATACTTTCACTTACTCATAATATGCACACACATCTTCAGCAGTGCATATGTAACAAGATATTTATGTCAGGATGACTTCATTTTCCTGTTGAAAGATGCATCCTTACTAAATTCGAAAAAGTCACTAGTCAATCGTGGTTAATTTACTTAATTTAGGATTAGTGCAATTTCAAACATCAAGTTGTATGTAGTCCGAATTTATCACAGTGTTTGAAAAAGTTCATAAAAAACCTCATTCCATGACCATGCATTAATACTAGTTTCTTAGTAATAATGAATTTTGTATGAAATTTGGAAATTTGTTGGTTTGGCATACATCATACATATATAACGTAAAATAAAAAAATAAACAGTTCAACCACGGTTCAAGGCTTTCGTTTATATTTAACATCTAAAATAACCTGCAATAAGGAAATGGCGTGAAGAAATGTTAAGGTTAAACTATGGTTGCGAAATTCACGTAAGCTTTGATGTAAAGCATACTTTTAGTTTATGCATTCCCCGAGAATTATTTTTTTTCTTTTGACTTGGTGAATAATTAAAGCATTTAATTGCTTATTAGTCAGCATTTAGTCGATGCGAAGTATGATATCAAAAGTTTGAGGTAAATATATAATAAGTTGTATCATAAATAAAATCTTGTAACTAATCTGCAATTCCTGCTCTTTTCTCATAATAGTAATAATGATAATTATGTACTTTCACGAGAGGAGTTGTTATATTTTTAAAAAAGTACAACCTTTTTATGGAAATTCCACCCGGAATAATACAAAGTATTTAACTCATTGCGAAATTAGAAGCCAGATTTAGTTATGATAATTATTTACAATATTATATGTATTTTATAGCTAACTAATTATGTATTACATATGCCAAATAACAAAATTAATTGGCTCCAGGTTACACGTGGAGAACATTGGTGATTTTCACCAGATTTAGACGTATAAGACATTTCTGGAATGGTGATATACTGATATACATACTTCATTACCGGTGGTGATGAATTCGTCGCTACTTTTAGTAAGTTTATCACCATTGGGAATAAATTCGTCAGGAGTATTAGTTTATCACCATTCCTATAGATTCATACACGTCTAAATCTGGTGATAATCATTAAATTATTACTTTGAGTGTAGATGGTTGCCGGATATTATTGTCGTCCGTTTGTTCATAAACAAACATAATCTTATTGATTTGATTTCAATCAACATTTTACTTTTAATAGGTTTCATTGAAATTCATCCAATAATTTGATTTGCATATAAATTTATTAATTTAAATCGATGCGATTTGCTATATAGGGAATCTTCGTACGACGAGAACTTGCAATACAATTCACACAAGTTGGTAATATGGACCAAATAGATATGTTCAATACTTATAAGGCATGAATCAGAAATTGTGCAGTAAAATAGGACCATATTTTTTTACAATTCGTAAAAGAAACAAGAATATACATAAACATAGAATAGATTGCGAAGTTTTCATTTTAACTAGTAGGTTAATGTATCATACATTTACATATATAAAAAGTGGTGTAATGTTATATGGAAGAAATTGTATACATGCACACTTACATAGTTGCCTTTATTATCTGAACTACTAAATACTTAATTGGGTAAATTTGTAAGACTAGGATCTGATAAAACAATGCAAGTATGTAAAGTACATAATTGAACCTATTATGTTAAATCTAGTAGTGGGAAACATATCTACCTCTCATAACCACATCCACACTGTATTAAGTGTGAAAAAGTAACTGAAAATCGTTTCATATTTGATTCACACCAAAGCTACACCGAACTTTTAAAAATTTAGTTTGAAGTTAATTAAGTTCCTGGTAAATAAAATGCATCATAAAATTGACAAACTAGAAATTTTATACGACGGTTATTATTATGACGTAACCGAATTTTCAAAGAGACACCCGGGTGGCGACATTATTTTATACTACACGGAAAAGGGGGAAGATGCGACGCAAGCTATTCAGCAATTTCATAATCGATTTTTCCGAAAAGTTAGGTCAATGATGAGCAATCTAAAAAGACGGCCAGCCCCTGATAATGAAAGTAAGGGAATAATTTCCATATAACGTCGAACTAATTTTGAAAGAGCCTAGGTGCAATCTATCTTTAATTTTGAAATGGCCTAAATGCTTAATTACAAATGGGCCGAAGTGCAACCTTTTTACATGTTACAGAATATTCTTGTGCGGTTTGGCGCTTTCGTAATTAAGCATTTACTGCACATAAGCCCTTTCAGAATTACTCCGACGATAATTCATAACTATAAAATGAAAGGGTCTAATTCTATTTTAAGGTCCACTAACACCCGAAGAGAGGAATAGACATCAGAACATTACCAATGATTTTAACGAATTATTTTCTTGGATGCAAACTCAAGGCCTGTTTGCGCCATCACCGTTGCGAAATATTTGGCGAATTATTGAATGTTCGTTGATTTGGATGACTGGAGTTTATTTTTGCGGTAATAGTAGATTTAGTCTGCAATTCCTTGGGGCCGTGCTATTTGGACTTGGCGCCGGTCGCGCAGGTTGGGTAATGCATGAAGCGGGACACCATTCCCTAACTGGGAACCATAAGGCTGACAGATTAATACAGTCAATTATTTTGGGTATTGAAGAAGCTACACACCTTAAATATCGATAAGCATTATGATTATGTAATTTAAAAAGTTAACAACAGTTTGTGTTTACCATGGACATTTTCTAGGTGTTCTGGACGGAGTTGCGGGAGGATGGTGGCGCAGACATCATAACAAACATCACGCCATGCCACAGGTTTGCAAATTTTTAGATGACCATGAAAATCCGGAAAACCGACAAATTGACTCATTCAATAAATTTATAGAGAATTGATTACGACTTGGACCTCAATACCATGCCAGTTGTCGCCAACGCTATAGAAATTGTCAAAGATGGACGCCATGGGAGGTCTTTTTTCATTCAAAATCAGGTCGGGGAATATGTAATTTACTTAAATATAGTACCCGGTACAATTAAAGAATTGTAAAAATGTGTTCATATTTTATTCTTATTATTCATATTTTTATTTCAGAAATGGTTATTCCTGGCATTAGACTGTTGCCTCGCCACAATGGCTTGGCGGATGTACAGCAGTCCAAGAAGTGCGATAAAGTACAGGAATTACTTTGACCTGGTCATGATGGGGATTCATTGGTGGATTATGCTCTCATTTGCAGCACCATGGACTATAATATTTGGAATTTGGGTAGCGGGGACGTATCTATTTGGGAACTTTGCCCTATCCCATAGCCGTCTACCCGTGGCTAAGAAACAAACGCACTGGGTTGAGTATGCATTTCGTCATACAGCAAATATCAAATCAAGTTTATGGATGGATTGGTGGACGGGTTATCTTAATTTTGAAATTGTACATCATCTCTTCCCTACCTTACCACCGTTTCGATCTTATTTAGTCAGGGATAAGGTGATGGCTCTGGCTGCCAAGTATGATCTTCCCTACAATGAGGTTTCTTACATGGAAGCGTGGGCTCAAAATTTCAGAAATTTGGATAATGTAGCAAAACATTTTAAACAAATGTAAAAGTAAGCGGAGAATGTTCTTGTGAGGTTATGATTTTAATAAAGGATTCCAATTTAGATAAAGGCATTTTTAATCCATACAGCCAAAATGGATATTACTGATTTAATAATGCTGATAAATTATATCTGATAGAAATTCATATTAAAGTTTGCAATAAGGAAATTTGTCGATATCTGAATAGAAGAAATTGTAGCAATTATGTCCATTTAATACCAACAAGCTCTTCAGAAACTTTCCAGAGACGTTCGGCAATTTGGGGATCATCAACTATGACAGGCTTTGGGATAACGTTTATTGGACCAGTGCAGGTTTTAAATTTAGTAGGACCATAGAATTCACCGGGTACTGCATCACTGGATGTAGCAGCGAATAACAAATATTTGGCCCCTTCCTCTACACTGTGGGTAATCCAAGGTTGTAGTGTCCACTTGAAAAGTAACCCAAAAATAGGGTGTCGATCGATGGCTGCTTGTAACATGTCAGACCTTGTTAACCCAGGTGAAGCAGATACAACTAGAAAAAGAAGCAAACTTGCAAATATTTATTTAAAAGTTAGTCTAACTGCAAAAACTTATGTGAATATTTATGTATTTCCTTACCTGATAAGCCCCACCCATTCTTATCACTCATTTTTTGTAGCTCGGAAGTAAACAATAAGTTCGCGAGCTTGGATTGTGCGTACACATGGTAGAAAGTAAAATATTTCGCCTTTGCATATTGTAGGTCATCGAATTGGATATTTGCATAGTAGGAACATGTGCTGGATACATTTACAATCCTAGGGAATACTGATCTTCTAAAATAAATTAGGACAAAAATGCCTGTAAATAAATGATTGGTAAAACTAGTAAAAAATAATATGTATTTTTGATCGAAACTTGTTTGACTAATCATGCTACTTTATGAGACATGTTTACCGAAGTGACGGGAGTAATTGAGCCGTTAAAGCAAACGGGGCTAAGTGATTTATTCCAAAAGTTGATTCAATCCCATCCACGGTCTTCTGTAATCTTCCCCATGGGTAAATTCCAGCATTGTTTACTAAAATATCTAGTCCAACACCCATCCCATTAAACCACCTGCAGGTTTAAATACATATATTTACAAATGCACTTGTGTTGTGAAAACTGTAAAATATTTACCTTGCAAATTCACCAATTTCTTCCAGACTTCCAAAATCAACTTTTGAGTATGTGATTCTGGCAGTCTGAAATTTACTTTTGATAAGGGAAACAGCATTGTCCCCATTTTTCGAATTGCTTCCAATAATTATGACATCCGCTCCAGCAGACACTAGTCCAATAGCAGTGCAGAGCCCGATGCCTCTTGTTCCTCCAGTAACAATTGCAATCTTTCCGGTTAAGTTTGGAATATCTTTAGTTGTCCAACAAGAAAATCTGATCATACTTGTAGTTTGTGTCATATTTTCAAAAAAAGAAATCGTTGCTGTCGATACGGCTACCTAAGTATTTTTTTAAAATTCTTGTCTCGAAATTCCACAAGGATTTGAAATTTATTACGTGTCTCATGAAAGTTTCTAGTTGCACATATGTATGAGTTGAATAGTTATTACTTCAGAACTCCCATAGCATTATATGTAATTGGAAATGTTGGAGCACATGAAAATAATCTTAGGCATATTTTTAAGCGTTTGTAATATATGGATGAAATGTGTATTCCACTTCATTTCCAGCCTGAAACATACAGCGGCGTATCGTGTGCATTCAATATTTCCAGGTGGAAGTATATGAAATTATGTGACTTTCCCATGTATGCATGTGCTTCATTAGCACTACCAACCTCGTTAGTAATACATATGTACATACATAAGTAAGTAAAAAATCAGGTTAAGCTGAGATTTTACTCAGAACGGTTGCACAATTTGGTTGTCTTCATGAAAATAACTATTTAATAACTTTATTTCATTTGGTTTCAACAAAGATAACATTTAGAACTCTGCAAAAAACGGTGGTCAATTAAAATCAATTCTTATCGCTATAATAAGGGAACGCTGATTTTTATTTTATATCTCAACAGAAATTATTACTTATTTAGTACTATGTAATAGTTAATGATACCATGCTTTTATTACTATGCATATGAATTATAAATTAAAATTGCATAAACTCATCATCGGTCACGAAATTGCATTCAATTTCGTGACCGATGATGAGTTCATGCAATTTTAATTGCGATTTCTGTAAAAAAACAATTGATAACAATTCATATCGCTGCAATTAGAGTCCGAACATTGTGTCTTATCCATTGTTTCAATATGCGTAAATGTAACTTACATCGTGTAAGAAAATTATTTGTTTCCATCTCTAATAAATACAAGACCTGATTTTTTTCAATTCCATACATATGTACACATCCATTTTTATTATTCCAACTCCTTCATTTCTTCCCTACAATATTTCATAAGCTCATCTGCATGTTTGTTTGACTTTAAATATTCATTATATGCCGAAACCGCGAGGGTGGCTTGTCCATCATATGTAAGAAATGCAAAACAGAAACCTGAAAATTTCAACCAATGACTAAAAATTTCTATGTGGACGTCGAAATTTATCAGAAACAATACCCAAATATTTATTTACGAACCTCGAGGTCCATGTATTGGTAAATTTATGCCCACTTTAATATCCGTGATTAGCATCTCATCATAAAGCATTTGTTCAATAGGTCCAACCACATTGGACAGGAAAAGGGGTGGAAGCGGGAACAAGGTTTTAAACGCTATTAATAAAAACTGTGGGAATACTCCGGCCAGATTTCCAATCCAATGGGTGAGTGGGACGACGCTATTATCTCTAAAGATTGCATTCATTGCCGATATCTCCTTCAGCCGGTTGATATTATTATGTTCTCGCAACGGGACTGGATAAATTCCTCCGCAACTGTAATAGTAAAAAATATACGCTATCAATCTGTACTCATTCTTTGAAGCAAATATTTATAAATCAATCTCCTTACACGTAATTTGTTAATTTGTCGGGATGATTTGGCATTGGCATGGGGGTCAGAATGCCCAATTTATTTGGTATCTTTTGCTCATATTTGAGAAGAAATCGTCTAATCCCGCCGGCCATGACGGCAATCAAAACCGATGCAAGGTCCACATTATGTTTCTTTCTGAGAGCTTTAATGTAATCTAATGGAACAGTCAGGGAGGCGTGGGAAAGTATTTTGTTCCCATTACCTGGAGGTACAAATGCAGATATATAATTAATTAAAGTACAATTAAAAAGTCGCACAAATTTTAATTTCACGAACCTTTGAAAATTGCTGGAAGTGTTATCGGACAAAGAACCATTGGTAGAAATGCTGCACCAATTTTAAACGGCGCGGTACAAATAGCTTGAAACTTCTCCCACGTCATTTTACCATCATATATTGACATTGTTGTCGGAACAACTGAGTCCTTTACTTTGTCATACTTGTCAAATAATTGCATCAATACCTTGAACGTGCCATAGCCGTCCATTAGAACGTGATGAAATCGCCAAATGAGGAGTGAACCGTTGCAAGAATTTCTTGGCAAGTGCGAGCGAGGAACGTTGTTTAAAAGTATGATTTCCCAAAGTGGTGCCCCCTTCCTCCAGCATCGACTTCTCAACATCTGGCTGGCTATTTTTCTCATGGCGTCAAGATCAGACCAATCGGGGAGTGGAAGACCTGTATCTGTAATTTTGTAATAAATAATTAAAACATATACAACCAAATTTAACATCTATAAAATATTTTGTAGGGTTTTCCTGTTTACCTTTGTAAAGCACGACATGTTGTTCCAAGTCGAAATGTTTTACAGGTTCCCAAAACAAGTAGCCAAGATATGGGCGAAGGCCACATCTTAATTCGGGAAATTGTACATTTCCATTCTGATCACGTTTTCCAATAAGGTTGTCTCGCACTAGCTGTACAATTTCTGATTTATTTATAACTGGAGCGTTGCCAACCAGGGTGACCGACATTGAGAGTGCTTGGATGTCATAAACGTTTTCAGCAGCCATGTGGCCGTCGAACAGGGGAACGATTTCTAACCCAATTAATAACTTCCCGAGTAGGGCAACAGTTCGTCGAAGGAGGTAGAAAAAACCTATTACAGGAAATGCTAAAATAATGAAGGTTATTGTGACGAAAACTATAAAAAGTTTGACCGCCAAAAAATATAAGCCGTTAGTACAAACTTGTATATTTAAGGTATCCATGTTGCCCCAATTGCGAAAAAAATTGCAATGAAGAACTAACCAGTGCGGATATATGTATGCCAACAATGCTGTCAGTATGGAATATTAATTTAGTTTGATTTGATAAAAAATGAAGCCATCCATCAGCAGCGTGTTGTGTAGGGAATTCCACTTACAAAGTAAGTATATCTTGATAGCACATAAAATCTGAGTATGGGAAACACATATAATTATACAACAATAAAGTTCATATTTAAGAAGATTAAAACCAGGATTTAATTGTTTCGCTTTTCTAATCATTCTGAATCTGTAAACGTGTATCTAATTATTGACTAGTAGGAATTTTTATATTTATCCTGCTTGGCTTTATTCAGTGTTTTTCACATATTAGTTGAATACCTGTTTCTTTAAATATATTGGGTCACAAAATTCGCAGCATTTCGCAATTTATTTTAAACCAGTAGGAAAAATTTTCAAACCCAATCCGTCGAGAGTGAAGGGTTCAGAACCTAGTAAGGAGTTTTCGCCTATATGAATAATCGATACCTTTGTCAATAATTATCACAATGGAATTATCAACCATATTTGTCGGCTTTAGTACCATACTAGCAATTTATGTATATTATTATCCAGCCAAAGCTGCGTATCTTTTCAAATTTTTCGTGTTTTTGGCCATGGGAAGTTGTGGAAGTTTTGTTACAATTCTCGTCTCCCTAATTTGTGGACCGGGCCGATGCACCAATATTTTGTAATAAATATAAATCTTCGTATTTATATGATTACTATAAGTATTTTAAATATTCACAAATGTTTCAATTAATGCAGATACATCATCCCCTATGCTCAATGGACTTCTCGTATGTTAGGAGTTCAATGGGTTATTCAAGGGGAGGAACATCTAATTTCAGTAAAGGACCGATCTTGCGTCATTACGCCAAATCATCAAACCATGCTTGACTTTTTGGCATGTAATTAAAGGTCGCCATAAAAATATGGTATTTGCCCGATAAATTATTGAGTTTGGCCCTAAATGATATTTGCCGAACATAATTATTTTTTAGCCCCATAATTATCTTAGGAATCCCATTAATAAATTGACTGACCACATAATTAAAAACAGGTACTATTGCACATATGTAACAGTAATTGGAGTTGACGGAACAACAAAATATCATAACTCAATATGCATATCTATTTTCGTCCCGTCTTGGTAACTGTTAATAACTTCTGAGCCTTTCACCGAGTACATCCACGATTACTTGACTTTAAGTATCTAGGTAACGCGTGTCCCTTAACGGTTGCGACAAACCCTCAAAGTATTCTTGGAGCATTTATTTTGAAAATTGGTTCTTCTCTTATGGGCGAAAGAACCAATTCTAAGTGAACGCCTTCATCAAAAGTCGCTGCCAACGAGATTTATTTATGGTTTCTGCTGAAAAATTTCTGTTAATTTTATTTAAAAATATCCTCAAAATATAGTTTTTCAAGGATTACTCAGCTATTTCGTGTCTCACAAAATTCTATAACATGTCAAAATGATCGTATGATCGAGACCGATCGATTGACATGCCATCGATGAGCTGTGACCACTCGACCAGGATTTGCCCCTTCCGGGTCTTCCTTAGCGACTTGGCATAGTGATTATTTTTTTTTACATAAACCTTTTCTCGTTACATAAACGAGACGCCGGTTCGTAACTCAGTGATTTGTCGCAACCTTATAGGACGATGAGTGTCAAGTAATCTTGGAGTACATCATATATTTAATTGTGACTCCAAAATTTCAATGAAGTGAAATCAGCCAATAAAATTTTGAAAATTATTGTTGCGTGATTACGCGTATTTGTGAAGGACAATTAAAATAATTTCAATATTAATGACGTATTAATACTTTTGAGCAGGTTGTTACAGGAAGTAGTCTGCTTTCTTCGCCCAATGGTTTATACTGCACTACATCGTAATTTTATTTCTCATACTCAAGTCCAATTTTGTTGTTTTCAAAAGTGGGAAGAGTTTTTTTTCCACTCCGGTAAATTTCAATTGATATTTGCCACATGGATAGATATATCTATCCATGGGCGGAAAAGATCAACCCCAACTATCTAGAATCACCAAACAAGTGGATAATCAAAATTGCTGTTTTTAAACTTTAGTGGCTACTACTTCTGTCAAGGTTCGACATATCGGTAAGTTATAATTCTGCTCAAGAAAAAGGCACCACAAGGAGATCTAACGTCAATAATGTCATCGATGGGTATACGGAAAGTATGTATAAAACGGAAGCGTAGGATGATGGAAACTATAGCCTTCTGTGTGTTTAAAAACATTAACAAAATTCCAGTGTAATAATTTTCGACGTGTAGTATGTAGACCGATTTTCAGTTTAACTATCACTGTATTCCTAGTCACTAATTTTCGACTCACAATTGGATGTTTGGTTTGGACGAATACCAAAGAACTCATTAGTGGTTAGTCAAGCAATGTGATTTGATTTAGTGACAAAACGAGAGTTCAGTTAAGTCAAATTACTGTTAAATATGTGTAATTTACTCGATTTTAATTATATGGTCAGTCATTTTATTATTGGGATTCCTAAGATAAATATCGGGCAAAAAAATAATTATGTTCGGGCAAATATCATTTAGGGCCAAACTCAATAATTTATCGGGCAAAATCCATATTTTTATCGGGGTCGAAAATTATATCCCTGACTTTTTGTGTAAGCAAAACTCACTCGTAAAGTCTCTTTCCAATCGGCTAGAAATGCGTATTTGGATAATCGCAGAATTTACATTGCCTATATCGTCGGAAATTTTTAGCATGGCTAAACCCTGCGATTATTCTACTTGCGAGTCCCAGCCGATTAGACGGAGATTACTGATATTTTCGTGTCAAAAAAATATGCATAATATATATAAGATTTTGACTTAAAAATTGAAGGTATGTGCGAACTCTGGCCAAAATTTGGTCGGTGCGTTACCTTAGCAAAAAGATCAGTATTGTGGATGTTTCCACTTGGACCTGCGGCATATCTTGTTGGAACGTACTTTATCGATCGTAATTATTCCGCAAGATCGAGTGCAACGATAGAACAATTAGCGAAACAAATGAAGGAAGAAGAAAACAAGGTCATTGTTTACCCAGAAGGGTCACGGAATTCAGGACAAGAATTTCTCCCATTTAAAAAAGGAGCATTTCACATCGCACTAAGAAATAAGATCCCCATTCTCCCAATTGTAATTGGACCGTACAGATTCCTTAGTGATAACCCTTTTCGATTTGGGACAGGTATGAATTTAATCAGTATTTTTAAATATCCTTAAAATATTTTCATATCCAAGGGTGTGCATTTTTTCAGGAAGGGTTCATGTCACCATATTACCTCCAGTTGACACCAGCCAGTATAAAAATGTAGACGTGGTAAAACTTTTGGATCATGTTAGGCATCAGATGAAAGAAGAGTTTGAAAAATTGCGAAAACTTGATGATGAATAAAGAAAATAAAGTAATTGCATATTTCGCAATTTTAAAAATTTACTTTGACAACTTTAATATCGCAATACCTGAGAATTACAAACATATCTTGACCACATTCAATAAAATATTATGTTCATGTATATTAGGAAGTTATGCTTTGAGCTGTATTTCTCTAACTTATTTAAATACTTTCATCCCCATCGAACTTTTGTCAACTTCTCAGAAATTTCCCATAACTTTCCTCCAACTTTAGGATCTGTTGCCAAGCGGGGAATCCAAATTTTTCTGATTGGACCACGGTATGCAACATACGAATACGGAGGACCATACAATGCCCCTGGGGTGATATCTGGGGATGTTGCCGCAAACAACGAATACTTTGCCCCCTCCTTCGCACTATTAGAAATGCAGGGTAGGATAAAGGACTTGAAAATTTGTCCGAGAGTACTGTAGCGATCAATTTCTTTTTCAAGTAAACGAGTTCGAACCAATCCAGGCATTACTGACAACGCTGTAATTACAAATAGCTTATTTCTCAATGTATTTACGTTGATTTATAAACGCAAAAATAATTATAAGCATACCAGTCAAGCCCCACCCTTTGGCATCGCTTCTCCGTTGCAATTCCTCAGTAAATGCCAGGATCGCTAACTTGGATTGAGAATAAACCTGGCTGAACAGATACCACTTGGCTCTTTCATATTGAATATCGTCGAAGTGAATTTTCGCATAATAGGCGGCTAGGCTGGAGACATTGACAACTCGAGGTGCGTTGGCTTTTCTGAGTCGAAAGGAATTGTAGGTAAATAAATTGAATAACGAACACATACAATTTTAGTACAGTAAACTTCTATGCTTTTAAAATTATTCGCCAATCAGCGGAATGTGTAATACCGAAGTGATGGAAGCAGTTGCGCCGTCAAGGAAAATGGGGCTAAATAATTGATCCCAAATGTCGATTCAAAACCATCCACAGTCTTCCACAACTTTTCACGGGCGTAAATTCCAGCATTGTTAACTAAAATATCCAGCCCAACTCCTTTCTCATTAAAGGCCCTGGAACAGAAATACTTCGATCACCAAATACGTAATGATATGTATAGAAAATTTGCATGAATAATTGTACATAAATACCTTGCAAAATCCGCAATTCCCTGCAGACTTCCAAAATCCACCTTAGTGAAAGAAATGTTTGCACGTGGAACTCTCTTCTTTATAAATGACACAGCATTTCCCCCCTGTTCAGGATTGCTTCCAAGAATGATAACTTCCGCCCCAACGGTCGCCAACCCCATCGCTGTGTACAGACCAATACCTCGAGTTCCTCCAGTAACAATGGCAACCTTTCCGGTCAATGTTTGAACGTCTCTCATTGTCCAAGTAGACAATCTCGTTTTATTTACCAGATATGAAATAACGATCTGCAATATTTCCTGAAATTATTTAAAATTTACTTAATTTAAACCGCACTATAAACGAAGGACCAAATTGGTGAACGACTCTTGTTATTTTTACCTAGTTGTGTGCAAATGATTAAGCCTTGGAAAAAAGTGTTCATCCAACTTTTGTAAAGCGTGTGTGATAAACTGGTATTTCCTAGGAAACATGAGAAGCAATTTGTTCAACATAAACTTTTAATGAGTACTACTGTTCCGCTGCAATAGGTCCATAATATATCACAAGGAGTGGGAAATCCAGGAATGGTTACATATACATATTTATGCATGTGCGAAATCAGATTAGGTTGCGAAAAGTTAGACACATTTTGTTTTTTGTTCACTTTATGTTTATTGAGAATATGTGATGGGATATTTATTTATGTAGCTACTTATTAATATGTGTGTGTATGTATGTATGTGTCCTGCGGAAACTGTGAGGGGATTTGACGTTATGCAGATAACGTTCAAGTCCCCTCAATTTCTTAGACTATAATATACTAAATAATTAATGAAATTAAGTAGTTAAGTATGTAAAATACATAAATCCAAAATCTATTTACGTATATTTACAGAGCAACTTGATTTCGTCATACACTTTTACAAAGATAGTTTAACCTTTCTTGAGTAACTTAATTATAGGTTGAAAATTAATTTGATTTATAGTTTTTATTAATTACTTCAACTATGAACTCATTATCCACTTCAATAGCTCTGTTATGGACTAATTGTGCCAAACTAATTAATTTTATAGTATCCACTATTTCGTAAAATTTCAATTTTAATATGCTCCAGAGCAGGAACTAATTTCGCGTCAGACATTAAGTCATCGGCCAGGCCTTCAAAATATGCCTCCTTGTCGTCAATCACACCCCCAAACTCTTCCGGAAGTTTTTGCGGATCCACTATATTTGTTACGTAGGACATGTCAGACTGCGTTAATTCTATCTGAAAATATACACCAGTCCAATTAAATTTAAATTTGATTAGATTAAAAACTAAGAATAAAAATTATGTGTGACAATAAAAAAAGGTAATATCCACATGTACGTACATCAAATGTAATCTAATTTTATACAGTCTTATTTACCTTTTTCCTCATTTTCTTTGGGATTAGCCACCTGAAAGCGTGAAAAGTACGGACGACGAGGGCATTACTGTGAACGAGTATGCATCCCTTGACCACCTTTCTGGATAACTTAGTTGGAACTTTCATTGAAATAACTGCAGATTTTTTTACCAAGTCAAAAGTCGTTAAGTGACTGACATGTGCCAGTTTTAGGCCGCGCATGTCCACGATAACTAAAACTCCAGCACGCTGCATTTCTGGTGAAGATCTTGCTGCGAATATGTAGAGTAGGAAGTTAAAGAGCAGGACGTCGTCCAAGTTGAATTTTGAGGGATCCCACTTGCCTGCAAAATTTTTATTTACATTAATTTGTTATCCGATACATACATGTGACTTTTTTATTTTTTCAAATTCAAACTATCTTTACTAACTTAGTCGTAACACAACCACAGAAGGTCCGACTTCTTGTTGGTTTCTCTTCAAAATCTGCACCATATTACAGGTCCCAATATCTGGTAAATTCTTCGGCTCCAGGCGCGATATCAGGTCGGGAAAAGTTATCATGACAACTTCAAAAAGAGCTCGAGCCTAAGTAATATTAATTTTTGCGGAGTATACATTTGTCAATTATTTTTAGATCTTATTTAAAATATAGAGTACATTATTTCAAAAATAATATTTTCCTACGCACAAGTTCAAACATTTTATGGGCTTCAAGTTGGCAAATTCGCAAACCAAATATAACCATTGGTTTTGGCAAGTATTTTTTCCAATCTTGCAATAATTCGTCCGCTAAGAAAACGAGGTTTGATTAGAATACATATATTTATAATTCAGGTATTTTAGTTTTAAAAAATTGTAAAATTTACCATCAAACAAGTTGTAAAATTCCAGAATTGCATCCTCCTCTTGAGACGTGTAGGAGCTTGAGGATGGAAAGAGTCGGAGGACTGCGTCTTTAATGGATTCACTTGAGGTGTTCATTTTAATTTTTAATTAGCAAAATTGTCGTACTAAAAATTGCTCTGCAAATCATCAAATGAGAATGCAAAGTGATGCCATGAGAAACTTTGTTTTACACTCGGATTTATTTTTTTATAAAACATATGCACACTTTGTTTAACTTGATCAGATAATAAAACAGTGAAGCTTCAACTTAGGTTTTCGTGGTTACTTCATGGTGGGAATTTTGTTGATGTTGAATATTTATGTCTGGTAGGTGATTACATATTTAATTACGGTGGGACCAGCTTTTGTAGTTAAATACTGATTAAGTACATCCTGGTGAATACATAATTAAGTAGATGTATGCACATATGTACATATATAGGCGTGTATACATATACATACATGTACATAATGCACGTGTTTGGTACCTACATACATACGTTCGTACAGCAGGAATAGTAATGTTTTTGCAAAAAAGCAAAAAAAAATTTATAAATATACATACATACATATTCTTGTTTTTGTTGGAAATTTTCTCCATGGAATTTGTCCAATTATGAAATTCCAACCCGACAAATAAATAATATGTAAATAATATGTAAATAATATGTGCCAAATCATCAGCCGAAATTTTGCAGCCGAGTCAGAGTAAATTTTGTAGACAATACATACTTATATGTATACCAAAATATAGATATGTGGTATAACGGTATAATTTTTAATACACATGTTTTACCCAAATTCTCCAGAAATGGCTATTCCTGGCCTTGGACTGTTTCCTAGCCACGATGGCTTGGCGGTTGTACAGCAGTCCACGAAGTGCGATAAAGTACAGGAACTACTTTGACCTGGCCATGATGGGGATTCACTGGTGGATACTGTTGTCCTTTGCAACGCCATGGACCATCATTTTTGCAGTTTGGGTTGCCGGGACGTACTTATTTGGAAACTTTGCCCTGTCCCATAGCCGTCTACCCGTCGCTAAGAAACAAACGCATTGGGTCGAGTACGCATTTCACCATACGGCAAATATCAAGTCCAGTTTGTGGATGGATTGGTGGACAGGGTATCTAAATTTTGAAATAGTGCATCACCTCTTCCCGACGCTACCACCGTTCCGATCGTATTTAGTGAGGGATAAGGTGATGGCTCTGGCCGCCAAGTATGATCTTCCTTATAATGAATTTTCTTATACGGAAGCGTGGGCTCAAAATTTCAGGAATTTGGAGAATGTTGCAAAACATTTTAAATAAATGCAAACCAATAATTTTCACGTGAAGTTATGATAAATGTGAATTTTAGAAATTTATTTGCTAATTAGCAAGATTTGTAAGCAAACTTTTGCTATGGAAAATTAGTCCTTAATTTGCTCAGTAGGAAAAGTTGGTTAGTTAGTTAACCATTTTATAGCCTATATTTTTGCAGTACATTTAAGACTGGTCTCCCACAAGGAGGCTCTTTTCATAGAGAACGGACTCTATGAAGGCACACCGGAGAATGGCCCCGTGCATATGTACTCTCCATTGTGCCACGACATCCGTGACAGTGTTACTAACACTGTCAGCAGTGTTTTGCTGTGGTTTTTTCCACTGTCCAAAACAACCGTCCAAAAGTGGTTAAAACCGGTTTTGGACACCGAGCTTTGGACGTCCAAAACTGTCCAAAACTGTCCAAATGGATTTAACATAGGGAAATGGGGCAATATGTTACAAGTTCTCTAATAACGACTTTTTTGCAAATCTATGCACAGATATGCAATCTCCTCTTCATTCTGAGCATTTTGATGTGTAATACTGCATAGTTTCGACAATTTCCTAATTTCTCATAAGAACACATGTTAAAACAAAAGTTTTTCAGAATTTCGTCGTATTACACATCAAAATGCTCAGAATGAAGAGGAGATTGCATATCTGTGCATAGATTTGCAAAAAAGTCGTTATTAAAAAACTTGTAACATATTGCCCCATTTCCCTATGTTATACCATATTGGACAGTTTTGGACAGTTTTGGACGGTTTTGGACGGTTTTGGACAGTTTTGGACAGTTTTGGACAGTGTCCAGTCCAAAAGGGGTTTTGGACGTCCAAAACGAAACACTGACTGTCAGGAGCCAAGTAGGATTCGCCAAGGAGGATAGTATGTCTTCGGGAGAGATGGAGTTTAGCTAAAGCGTGTGCTCAAAACTCGGGTCCTAATACCCCACAGTGTAGTATAAGCAAAAAAACAAGACATTTTTTTTATGATTTAGAATGGACCGATATGAGTGGGGAAGCCAAAAAATATTGTCCATTTTGACTTAAAAAGGGGGTGTGGTCAGGAGGTTTTTTTATTGAATTTCGAAAAAAATCAAACTTAACTGATGATTTTGAAAAACCTGATTTTGTAAAAAATGTCGCAAATTCCCCTGGAACCTCCCATGACCTCCAAATGAGGTCAAATGTCCAAAAATATTATTTTTTTCGTGAGATGTTTATCAAAAAGCTTTGTTAAGTACGTTCACATTTTGCGAGTATCATGTTTACATGGGTGGGGTGGAATGAGATGATCGCAGAGAATTTAAAAAAATTGGTGGGTGTACAATTTTCATACAGTTTCCCATTTTCTGCAATTGTCTCATTCCACCCCACCCATGTAAACATGATATTCGCATAATGTGAACGTACTTAAAGCTTTTCGATAGACATCTCACCTGACAAAATAAAATTTTTTGACATTTGACCTCATTTGTAGGTCATAGGTGGTCAGACCCGGAAGCTCCACAATTTTCAAATTCCTCCAAAATCCGCACCCACCACACAAAAGTCTCAAAGTTAAAACTTTTTTTTAATTCGACAAACACCCCACTTCTTAGCACACCTCCTTTCGGAAACCAAAACGAATTAGATTTTAATTATTGACCACCCGTGGTGGTCCATTTTAGACCATAAAATAAATTGTCCATTTTTTGGTTTCTGTGCTCACTGTGTTCTTTTCCAGCCTTCGCCACTAGCACAAATTTTAACAGTAGAGGATCATTCTAGGTGCAGGGGTCGTCCACTGATCGCTATTCTATGAGGATTCGCTAGCCTTCCCCGAACCTGAGCGGTCACCCGTGCAAGCCCATAGGATTCATCATCATGCTTAACCTCGTCCGTTTATAGAACACAGGCTTTCAGAACCAGCTAGCTAAAGAAACTCAAACTCTTAGAACTCATTGTTCATTGTTCAAACTTATGTTGATTTGTGCGTGCATTAGATATATTGTTTTGTCTGATCAAAACTAAAGAAGGAAAGATTGAACTAATTAACGGACTGGTTTTTTAAATTTTATCAGGTGAAATGCGTCTAATCCTAACTTAGGATTCTATACGAAAATTTTAATACTTTCAACGACATATCAGGTGATCCAAAAATCACGAACTGTGTTATAAAATTGTTATATAAAAATTCTTGTTAATGAAAATATTAACAACATTTTAATATTTCTCATGAATACATTGAATTTAAAAAATCTTTTAACTGAATTTGGACCAAACAGTTGGCTGCCAGATGTGATTTGTATTACATTACCAATAAACATTTTATATGAGTGCTGATAATAATTGCATAGACTGCATATTGTACATTTTTATTATGACGTATGAACAAATTCAATTTATTTGTTACTTATTCATAGAATTCTTAGAATGCTAGGGTAATTATGGAAATTGTGATTTTTCCGTTCCTACTATTTAAGGAGAAATCATTTGATCATTATATAGATTTATTTTGAGACTGCAACACGAAACCGCACATAAGGATCAATACCGCAATGAAGATCTTGTTCTTCTTAACGATTCTGGTTTTGGGCATGCTCCTCATCTTTGAAGCAAACCTGGTAACTTTATCATAGTCCTTAATTTTTTACGACTTTGATCAAAATTCTGAAGTATTTTTTTCAATTTGCAGGTCGAAGGGCGATGTAGAGGCGTGAGGAGGGCGTTGTGCCACGCGAGATGCGCACAACAGGGGTTTGCCTGTATCTGGCCGGATGGAAGGTGCCAGTGCGAGACTTTTTAAGGACAACCAAAAAAATCTTCAGGTTGTGCCGAAATCAAAATTAAAAATTTCAATATAAATTATGCAATTTTTTGTGGAATTGGTTTAAATAAAATCCGGGAAGAATGTCCATGCTACTGCAATTTAGATACCTATATTTAAACACCTGTTAATTTCCAAACTTTTGAAGTTGGACATATGATATGTCACATATCACATGAAATTTTGTGAAAGAATATATGCATTTTGAATTAAAATTACCAGCACTGCACTTCTATCTGAATGGTTCCTGAAATTCTCTGGAAAGATAAATACATACTTTCATTGACACTTGTGGATTCGACTAATCAGGAATCGAGGAATTATGACGAACAATATGGACATCAGGGTTAATGCTATAATTACAAGATTTTTCTTCTGTGTGCATTTGTCTAACATGTTTAGATAATTTGTGTATGACGTACCAATTGACAACCCACTTATGAAAAACTTGACAAACCAAAAAACAGGTAATTATGTCAGTATCTGTACAAATGTATGTTATATTGTTGCACAACTTTACTGATATATCTTTCTTGCTGCGGGATATTATAAATAACTGCACATATGAATAATTTGACGTGTATATTCACGTATTTCTAACAATCCTGTTTGCATAAATTTATACCTAAGCTAATTCGGAATTATATTAAAATGCACCAAACTGACTCCGAAGGCTTTCCTCCGGAATCGCTAGCGATAAATTAATCGTATTATCCAATATCCTTACATAAAATTCTGCCTTGGTAGACCGATCAATAGAGAAGAATCTTACCTCGTGAATACCTACATGTAGTTTTTTAGGCTTTAAAGATTTCAGCTTTTTCCTTAAAATATTTCTCTCTTTTATATCAGGTTCCATCATAATTTCCACATTCCACTTGTGCAAAACCATTACAGAATAGTCATTAATTACCTGCGCCTGTGGTAATAAAATTGAAATTATTAAAACGATAATGCCAGATACTGACGGAAAGTAAAAATACAACCAGAATGGGAGAATATTCCATAATTTGATGCTTCCCGTATTGAATATAATTCCTGCAAAAAGCCCTAACCCAAACACAACCAGGGTTGAAGATTCTTGAAACTTTGACATTAAGAACATACACAGTCTGGATTGATGGTCCTCATTAATTAAACAACTTAGGCTTAGCATATTTTTTCTGGCTGAACTGATTCTCATATCACTATGCAAAATTCCAGTAGCTATGGTACCTTTCGACATAATTTTACCGGTTTGTAACGTATTGGCAAACATGATAAAAATGAGACACATATGGCGGCATGTTTCAACTGTGCATACAACGCTGACGTAAATCCTGACTAGGTTGGCGCAAAAATAAAAAATAACCCTGTTAATGTCTCCTTGGATGTTAGATAGAGTCCAGTTGATGACAATATAGAATGGATCCAGTCTCATGGCTAGTCCAAATAGGGCGACAAAAATTGCGTAAAATGTAAACAATCGTACCATTATTATCATGCTTGCTCCCAAGTAATCCCGATTTTGAGGTTTTGATATCTTTTCTATAAAAAAAAACAGAAATCACGTCCAAATTTTTTTACATAATTTTTTATTTAATAAGTTTTGCATACTTTCACGTTCGGACATTCTTTTCTCCAGTTTATGCAATTCGTTCCATCCATAGACGAATTCCTTTCCGTAGGCCAGTAATCCTATCGACATTCCAATATCGGACGTTCCCATGACTAAAAGTAATATCAGAGTGAGGATATTGAAAATCGGGATTGTTTTTGTTTCCACTAATATTTCTCTGATTAGGATGACGACTGTGGTACCACAGCCTGTAATTGTAATAACCACGGCCATATTCCATATCCAGAAATATAATTTCCTTATGCAACCTATGTAATAAAATCTGTTGGTCTTGGTGTCCCACATTACTGGAGAATTGTCCAAATATTTTTGGAAATAAGTGGTGTAGATTTCGAGAGCTTTGAGGACTTTAGGCGTCGGCATTTTGATATGGTAATGGCTCAATGGGTCTAGAAATTTCGGTGCTCTTTGGGTTTGAGATAGACTCAAATGAGTCAATCGATAGCTGACTACTGCATTAACTTATAAGCATTTAATGAAATAAGTATGAATAAGTAATACTTATTAAATAGGTACGTATGTTAAGTTGGTTAAGTGTATCACATAATATTTACAAATACAGGAGGAGAGACTCACTGCATGTCCTTTTCAGATCTTGAGACCCAGTGGCATAAACCTAAGAGGGAAGATGTAATTATATATATCTACATATTTATATGGATATCCATATTGCATCGTACCTATTAGAAAGGGAATCAAGATCTGAAAGCGGCATGTCAAGAGGTTTTCCATAGAATACCTATTCAAATAAGTTAATGCTTGCACAACTAAACAAGACGCAAGCTTAAACTCTCCAACCCATTTATAATTATCGCAACATACATGAAAATACTTACATACTAAAAACTTATGCCAAAATATTGAGCAGATTAAACTATCAAAACAACCCAGGTACGTTAAAATTTAATAAAATTAGTCGTCTCGAAAAGAAATTCGCATTCATAATTGAGTACGCTTATGAATATGTATAAATGAATTTGCAGCAAAATTAGGTAATATTATTATCCATAAATATGTAGGTATTGAAAAATATGAAAACAGTTTTTGTACTCTTTCGATTATTCTTACTAAATTAAATATGCTGCGTAATATTACTTTTGCCAAGCTAGGTGGGCAAAATTGTAGCCGTTGCGCCATATTTTGTCAATACATGCATCCAAGTGAAATGACAGAACCGTATGAAATTGGAACCTCAGGGGAAGAATGGCTGGCAAATAAAATTTAATTTATTGATTCTTGCCCAGGATCCAGAACCATGAAAATGTGAATGTCGAGAGGTTTCAATAAGTTTGAATAAGTTGCAATAAGTTTGTGGTAAAAAAACTTTGCCCGCATTTTTTGAATAATATACATAATTATGTATATCTAGGACTCATTAAACTACAATTTCTTATCTTCTGTATTATAGTTTCGTTTTATTGCAGTAATTTTTTTTGCACTTGCGTTCTTATGCATAAGCATGGGTTCGTACGTCATTTTTGCGACTTTCAGAAAGTAAAAAATAGTGTTCCTGTTCGTAGTTCTGACGTATTCATGAATAGGTTCTTGCATAATTGTGCACAGATCATAGGATATACATATATGTATCTGTTCGTAACAAAATTATTAAACCTTCAACAAGCTTAATATTTGATTCTCATATTTATTTATAACTTTTTAAAAAATTGAGACGTTTAGGTAGCTTTGAACTAATTTAAAGAATGCAATTTACCAACTGCAAGGCAAATATCTAAATTAATTGTCTTGCAGAATATGCTGGAAATTGGTGCGCATTACTTACGCCCAAAACATACATATGCATATTAATATATCCATATACATATGTATGACTCAAATTAATATTTGTAATTGGCACTGAAAAATATGACTTTGAATTAGTTACACTGTTACGTGTCCCAATTATTTTGGATTTATGTAAAAGTATACTGAAATTAAACTCGGCTATTTTATTTTCGTCGCTCATCCACAAATACCAGAGTTGGACTAGGCAGGTTTAAAAAATTTCAAAATGATAATCACTCCCCTCATGTGGAAATCTCTGGATCGTTTCTCCCACTATTTTAATCACTTCTGGAAAAATCCAATAGAATGGGACGTCAAACGGAAAATGCTTGTCTTCACACCAATCTCCCGAAAATTGAAGATCTGGATGGTTTCAATTGTATTGACAATCATTTTGAACGCTACTTCGCTTTTAATGCTCATGCCGGAAATTTTGGGATTTACCGATGTACATTTCGCCAACGTCGTGTTATACTTGGTTTGGCTTGGCGCAACTTCAAGTACACTCACCTTAGAGATATTACAGGAAAAAGTGCGGCTTCAGGGTTCAACTGCATTACCGGGTTGACAAGGAAATTTTGTGAGTTACAATTTTATAAGATTACGTGTTCAAATACACATGTTTAAATTTCGTTTTTGAGTCATGTATTGTCGTGGAGTTTAGTAAGCTACATACATAGATATTTGGTGCGGAAATTCAGTATTTTCTTACCAGCGATAATTTTAGAAAGTCCTTCAATCTAACCTAAGGAGTCCTTAGCTTAGAAATTCAAATTTCTAAAAAACTAAGGACAAACATATTTACATCTAGACATAGAGTGAGACATAGATAGAGATATATAGAGATTAATCTTTGCCATATCCCTAACAAAAAAGATAAACATCTTAATGTGAGATTTATCGGCACTTGTCAGGACACTTTGAGATGTGAAGTGATGATGGCTTAATGATACACGAAATCAATAAAGATACGTTCTTTTTTCTTTTATGGTTTACGTAACCAACAGCCATACAGATATTTAAATCTATTATGGATAAAATCATAACCGTTTTTTTTGTAATTTTCTAGGTAGCCAGTCAATCCATCCCATCAATTTCAATTTCGACACGAGGGGCATCATACTTAACACGGTCATAATTTTCGTTCTTCCCCAACCAATCATTTTGTATTTGATCTCAACAATAGCTTCAAACTTAATCCCGTACGTTCAGCTTTACAACTTAGCACTATCGATGGGGTATTTAAACAGTTGGTACACCCAAAGCCTGGTCAAATTGATTATCTTCGTCCTAAGATTCACTTTATTCATTCATTCCCATGATCCAAGCTTCACGAATTATTTGCTTTATATCTTGCTTCCCTGCCATGGCGGCATTTTCTGCACTACAATGTATCACAATTTTAGGCAAAACTGCTGTCTATTACTTAACATCAAGGAGGAAAATAGCCGTTAATAATTATTTGCAAGATTATGCCATTTTGCAAATAATTTTTGCAACTGGGCACAAATTTATAGCGCCAAATGTGGCCATTACAATGTTTTTTCAATGTGTTCTTCCGTTCTGGTTAATTTCATTTCGCTCAAAATGTACGTTTGATACCAATATCGATATTTATCTTTTTTCCACTGATTTCTCTCTTTATTCTGGGAACACACCAGTTTACTATTCCAGTGATGATTGGAATTTACGAAAATTGTAAGACAATTCATGTTAGGTGGAAACAATTATTGAATTTGAGCAATGATAAGAAATACTTGAAAAGAAAATTGAAATCTATTCGGGTGATTGCGATTTACGCTGGAATTTTTGGCCATAATTATTACAAGTTTAAAAAGTCGACGCGATTGACTTTTTTTGGGGCTATTATTAATTACACGATTTCTGCAGCTTTGTCAATTAAGACGAAACATTTGGTTAAGTTAAGGTTGAATTAGGAATATATGTTACACACAATCTTACTGACAATAAGTAAAGAGGTTCCAAATTTTTAATAAAGGAAAATATAAAGTTTTTTAGTACATATTTACTTGTGTGAATTACATCATTTTAATGTCTAAGCGAATATATGTTCTTGACATACTTAGAATGTCAAAATGAACAGTCTTTTTACATGTTATACCCTTTCGAAATTAAGCATTTATTGCACATAGGGCCTTGCAGAATGAGTGCGACGATATGTAATCCCTTCTTTTGCCATGAATAAGTATTTCAATTCTGGGACTGCTCAAGCCGATGTTCAACTTATCGTCAATAGTTAGATTTTATAAATAATTTATGCCCAATCGACTTGGTTTGAAACCTGTTAAAACATTGTACAAGGAGACAGCCCTTATAACATATTTATCTAAGTTGCGACTTGAGAGTATTAATGAGTATGTGCTTTGTTGAAGTGCTTCATAAAACCGAGGTTTAATGCTTAAATAAGTATATCGGACATGGCTATAGATACATATATACAATATATAGTTATACATATATACATATATACAACTCCTATAGGATTTGTATATATGTATACAAATAAATATAAGTAAATAAAGTAAATGTAAATATTTGTACCTATAACTAATTTAACCCATAATTGATGTAATTTTGTGGGAAATTTTCTTCCCTCAAAAGAGTTGTCATATCCCACTTCCAACATACATACATATGTACATAAATCAGATTTACTAGCAAATTCAGTAAATATAGCACAAAAGAAATGACAAAATGAGCTAATTGAAAAATTATATCCTGACTTATAAGGAGTGTGATTAGATTAGATATGTTGATATACTTTTTTGAAACCAAAGAGAATCAGGTACATACTTCTGTAACTCGCGTGACATTAAAAAATCATAAAATCTGTGGAAGTCAATGGTCCAAATATTATATGCTAACGATTGTATGCTTATAAAATATTTGTTTACCAGTCATGAGATCGTTTACTAAAGGTAATCCCTATGGCCGTTGGTAATCCTTATGCCGTTGGTAATCATTATGGCCGTTGGTAATCCTTATGCCGTTGGTAATCCCTATGGCCGTTGGTAATCCTTATGCCGTTGGTAATCCTTATGCCGTTGGTAATCCTTATGGCCGTTGGTAATCCTTATGCCGTTGGTAATCCTCATAGCCTTTGGCAATCCTTATGCCGCTGGTAATACTTATGGCCGCTGGTAATCCTTATGCCGTTGGTAATCCTTATGGCCGTTGGTAATCCTTCTGGCAGTTGGTAATCCTTACGCCGTTGGTAATCCTTATCCTGTTGGTAATCCTTATGCCGTTGGTAATCCTTATGCCGTTGGTAATCATTATGGCCGTTGGTAATCCTTATGGCCGTTGGTAATCCTTATGCCGTTGGTAATCCCTATGGCCGTTGGTATTCCTTATGCCGTTGGTAATCCTTATGCCGTTGATAATCCTTATGGCCGTTGGTAATCCTTATGCCGTTGGTAATCCTTATAGCCTTTGGCAATCCTTATGCCGCTGGTAATACTTATGGCCACTGGTAATCCTTATGCCGTTGGTAATCATTATGCCGTTGGTAATCCTTATGGCCGTTGGTAATCCTTATGGCCGTTGGTAATCCTTATGGC